AAGCGGTATTGGCAATAATAAATCGGCTGAAACTCATGACCGTATTCAGAACTGGTAATACCAACTATAGTGAAAAAAAACTGTTTATCTTGTTTTATTCCTACCCGGCTTGAGAACCATATCCAAGTAGAAAAGTTCTTATTAACATGTGTCCTAAAAAGTCTTGTTTCCAAGAAAGTATTATAAAAATTTTGTTTTTTTAATTAACCTCTCAAAGATCTTTGTGCCGATACTGTTGAATTTTGCCAATGTAGTTCATTCCAATAAGATGCTTAGTTAGCACCAACTAATTATGAGTAATAATATTATTAGAAAAACGTGTCCCACTGAGTTTTTAAGAAAATATATACTTTTTACAGATTAAGTAGTTAGTAATTCAACTTTTTTCTCTCTTGATATTTCTTGTATCTCATGTCGTTTTCGAGGGAAAAAATAAAACGACTTCATAGCCTGTAGAAAACTGGTTTAAATTAAAGGAATTTAATTTGATCAAAGCATATTTATTTATAAGCCATTATTTAAAATGTAAGGAATGAAAAGTAACAACAATTTGGCAAAATATTTGCAAAAAGTGTTGGAAACGACCACCTTCTGCTCTTGGTATTTCAATAATATTACATGTAGCGAGACAAAAAAAGCTGCTTACTCCGAAAAAACATCCTTTTTCAAAGTCAGTGGCGTACATTTTTTTGCCAACGTTATTCATGTCGCCACTGGAATTCATAATTATCTTCTAATTAGTCCTAACTTGGCCTCTTATTGCAATGAACAACAGTGCCAAAATCCAACAAAATCGGCAAAAAGATATTTGTTGTTAATAAAAAAAACATTTTTATAAAACTTTCACATCCTGTATCTTGGAAACCAGAGTTTTTAGGACACATGTCTATAGTCAACGCCAAACAAAGTGGCGTGCACGTCATCAAGGTGGGTGTGTTGAAAAATTTACATTGTTGCCAAACTTTTTGTAAAATAATAAAATTTATTATTTACATATCTAGGTTTATAAGCAATATTAACCTCAAATGAGAACAAAAATAATAGTATAATAAAATTATAGATCTGTACTTGCATAATCATTAAGTATGACAATTATTGATCAGATGACACTATGAAACTACCATATTTAATTGATAGCTTAAAGGTACTGAATAAAAATCCAAACTGGTATAAGGCCTCAACCTTGGCTTGATTGTATTGCCTTAGAAATTCCACTCTTTTCAAAGCTATACTTGGTAGTTCCATGAGCCCTCGTCGCGGATTGTCCTTAAGCCACTTAAATCCAAGATCTCTAAGCAACCGCCTTAAAGACGTGGCACTACCATCAAATAATGCCCTATCTCTTAATCGAGACCATAAAGTTTGTATCGTAACTTGTTCTTCTGTAATATGACATTATAATTTAGTTAACAAATTAATGCAAATTTCTGATAAGTTATTATAATAAGATCTTACTTTTGTGATACATATTATAGATCACTTCTCGAATGGCACTTGTATCCAATGTCGCTGTGTTGGTTACACGTTTAATATAACTCCGCTTTTTCTTGGGCGATTCTAAATTTGCATCACTTTTCACACCCTCGGAAATACGACTAACTGTCCTTAAACTAATTTTTAAAGCAGCAGCAACACGCTACAAAAAATGAAATAAAATTTCACTATTATTAATATACATTACATATAATTATTAGTAACCTACCTCTTGAACAGCATTTAAAGGCAACAAAGGCCCGTTGTTGTCCCTTTCTTGCTCAAAGTAGTGCATTAACGAGGCCACGAGTTCCTTACACCGACTATTTAACTGTTTGGGCATCTTTATATACCAAAATTGCCTTTATCTACTCGTAAAATGAATAATTTTGTTTTGAAACAAACAGTTGTTGATTTACAGTATGCGGGGCCAAAGGATTTATAAAGATTTGAAATGCCACAAATTGATTCAGTGTCAAAATTAATACAAATGTCAGTTCCCAGTTTAAATAAGTTTCAAGGTGACAATGTGTCAACGCTGCGAAATCGGTTTAGTGCGTTTACATGTCGATAAGTGATTGGAGCGTTTGCAAAACATTTTATTTCGCATAATGCGTCTAAGTTTATCAGAAAGCAACTTATGTGATATTTTAATAACAATGTTTATATGACTATTAACCATAATAAGAGAGTAATGACCATTTTACAATTTATATATCACATTAATATGAAACTGCAATAGAGCAATTGTTTGTGATAGAAACCTAGGCATTAGGTCGGGGAATTTTTATCGTGATGACGTGCACGCCACTTTGTTTGGCGTTGACTATATATGATTTTTTTCGACTTAAATTTGGTTCAGCAATGCGTCCTTGTAATTTAGGCCTATCATTAAGTAACAACCCTGAATAGCCATGATCATTAGCATTGCTGGTTTGTTGTATGCGACGAAACTCTTCTAAAATCGTTGTTTGGGAGTATGAATCCGTAACGTACAAAAGACCACAACAAAATACGACACTGTCTACAGATCTAGCATCTAGCATTGACAGATCCAACAGAATTGTAAGTCACAACTTGTTGATATGGGGCATTTTGAAATGTTAGCAGAAAATCAGCTGTCACGTTTGGCGTAATGGAGACTACGGAAAAAGAGCATAGGCGCCCAGTTGACTGCTTTCAAATAGTATCGAACTTCTACAGGGCGTTTCAGAAGGACGTGCCAATATTTCTAGGGTAGGGAGTACATCCTGGAACACTAATAGGAAATATTTTTTACACCATTGGCCTTTTAAAATCCCATTCAATTTTCCATAAATATCTAAGGAATTAATATCAGATAACTCGTTTTGGAGATATTTGTGTTTGAATATTTGAGCTAAAATCCTAAAATATTCTTACGAAAAGGTGTAGCCTCCCCTATTCTGAAAACACCGTTTAGCTCGATATTGGAAACACTATATGTATGTAATGTGAAGAAAGCTACGGAAACTCATTACAACATTAATTGAATAATATGCGTATTTTATCCTCAATCAGTAGCGTAGAAGCTTACCATTCATTAAACCTGTTTAAGCACGCCACTGGTTTTCACGTTATACTTCTCCTTGTATTATCTCAGATTCTTACATATGTTTGTCTAAAGCCACAATTAGTAATTGTTTAATTTGAGTAAAATTCTTATTATTATACTTTTGAAGTTATCGGCCTTTTTTCTTAAAATTCTTTAGCATTTCGGATTAAGTGAGCTCAATAAAGAAGATATCACAAATCGTTAGCAACCTCGGTCACAAAGTATAAGGACGTAGTATGCAGAAGACTTTCAACACTGTTCGTACGAGTACTACGCCAGGTATTTCCCAAAGAGTCAAGAGTTTTTTTGGCGTAGAGCACGGGCTTGTATTGAATCCATGGTTACTTCCAACACCTCGTTCAGGTTGGATGTCATAGCATTCATTCGAGCATTATTTTTTGTTCCCAATATTATTATGTTCTCATACATTTAGAAATAACCACTGAGTTGTATCAAATTTAATGTTTATTATTGTCGTACTTAATTCTAATTAGCTTTATTTATTTTTGAAATAAACCTTTTCTTTGTGCACAGGAAGGTTTTGATGAATGGTAAGCTTTTAAATATTCAAACCTAGATATCTCCAAAGTGAGTGATCTGACAAAAATTCCTTAAGAGACAACATTTATGGAAAATTGAATAGTTTATAAAACGCACTTTTTTCTCCGAAAAAGCCAATGGCGTAGAAAATATTTCGTACCCCAGTTTCTATGTCCCTGGTTTGATTTGGGCCGGGAAACTGTGAGCTCATTGCTTATGATGTGCTCAATGAACGTCTAAATCTTAAAATACAAGATATATTTTTTTTCAATTTCGTAAATAAAACTTCATCACCATGTATCTTGGCATGGGAACATCTTTGCACCCATATTTATATGAACTTTTCTTTGTTATTTTTGGGTATATACTTTCTACCCTAGGAATATTGACACGTCTTTCTGAAGCACCCTGTATACTTCGGTATCAGGAAGCCTTAGAATAGTTGAAGTCAGTGCGTGAGGTTCCCGTCTTATTCATAGACGCGACGCGACGCGTTAACAGTGAGGTGTTTTGGTACTTTTTGACATTTTCATCAACTGAAATACAATTCAAATACCTATATGTGATCCTCTGATAAATATTGTTGGGCACGCTTATGCCCAAAAATATTCTCCGAGTCTCAAGATGCTCGTCTGATGTTGCAAATTCGGGTCTGCCATCCACGTATTCTTTTTTCTTTTTTTCAAATCTCATTTAGGTTGGGTGTGTATGGGACTTGAACAGGTTTATAGGTAATAAGTACCAGCCTACTCAACATACCACATATTTGAACCAGACACATTTTTAACTTGCAGAATGTTAATAAGACATTATCATAATTATTGAAGGGAATGACTTGATATAAAAATGATATTTTATTAAAGCCGAAAATCATGTTTTTTATAGGGAAGATACTCGTACTTAAGAACCCCTTATTGATAAAAAAAATATGTTGCAAAAAATGCAATACAGGTGGTTGAATCTCAAATACTCAAATAATCAAAGAATTTTATTGACGTCTCATCTACCCCTGCAACTTTTTCAAAATAAAAATTTAAGCAAATTGAGTTGATCAAATGTGATTATTCAAATCAGAATTCAATCATCAATATAAAAACGTCCTTGACTAACGTGATTTGCCAGCATCAGTTTATAAATGCAAATTGGATGATCAAAGGTTAAGTACAACAAAAAAGTTGCTCAAAAAACAAAAAATCGATAGGTACAATATGTATAATTACTATAGTAGATTTTGAAAAAATTTGACCCTTGTGGATATCACGGAATGGGGCGCCTGTTTCCTTGAGCCTAATTTATCAAATTTTGAGTTTTGAGAAAAGCAGTCTTGTTTGGATTCTGTCCCAATCATAAAGTAGATCAACAAAATAACACGAAAAGCTCATATAAAGACAAACAATTATATGTTCATACTGGACTAAGATATTAAAACTAAGTATGTGTACTTATGTAGTACTGACCGCATGACCAATGTACATACAAAATATTCTTGTCAATATCAGTGTCGTATAAATTGGGAAATGTTGACCCCTCCACCTACAGAAAAAAGAAGGTATATAGTTAATCAAAAATCGTCTCTCTTAAGCATTTTTGTCAAACTACTGTTTTAGAGAAAAATCGGATGTATAAAAAACAACTCTACTCTGTAAAAAATGCTAGAGTTGTGAAGTCTGACAACTGAAAATTATACGCCGTGAGGTACTTTCTAGGTACCATAGACATACTAAATATGGCCACGTTTTTTTAAAACAGCCTGTTCAACTTAAACATGCGTACTATCGGGATAGAGGAAGAAGTCTGAAAGTCCCGCCTAAACCCTACTTAATGTTCGAATGATTAGAGAAAATTGAAACACTTTTTTACAAACCTAAAATGTTAGGGATTGACATTGCGATTGCGGGAGTAAAGAACTGGTAGGTAGGTAGGGTCCGCTCAAAATAAAAGCCTCTTTTTATAAACATGTATGTATGGGCCCTATACTTTAAAAAACCATGACAAGGACATATTCAGCTAACAAATTACATGCATAAACTTAGCAAGCTGGTTGTTAATCAAGCCACATGGTAAACATTTACCTTTTCGGCTTCAACCACCTGCTGCAACTAAAAACAATTTCGGAACCGTTTGACAGCAAAAGTCTGCGCGAATTTTCGCACCGTCGGTTCAAATCAGCAGCAAGTTCATCGACGAAATATTCAAAGCCTCCTTTGATGGTCTTCGATACCAACTTATTTTCGCTAATAAACATGACATACGCGCGTCGCGGCAAAAAACGCGGCGTCGTCGTACAGAGCCGTCCACTCAAAACACTGTTTCACAACTCAAACAAATTCTAGACGTCCATGTGCGATGCGCGGTTTTCATTATTGCCGGGCTATTTTTAGATCTGATGTCACGGTCCACAATCGCGATTGGCGCGTCGTGACATAATGCTGGCACGCTATTGGTTGGGAGATTCGCGGCGTGGCGTTGCAGCCCGCGGAGTGTCGCGCCACAGCGCGGTGAGATACGCGAAGTTTTCGAGGCGACGTTGTCGCTGTGAGAGGAAAGTCTAGGATTGCAGAAAATTTGATACAAATTCCATCTAATTTCAAAGAAATCGGAATTTTTTTGTAATCACGAAATGCAGTGAACATTACCGTTAACGTTAATTTTTTGCTTTATAGATGTAGCAACTGAGGTTAAAATTATTAACGTGTTCGGTCAAATACGAAATACTGATGGCCAAAACTCTGTTAGAACAGTAGTGAAGCACTTGTACACTTTAGTGATATTTTTTTTTTTATTTCTGATGCTGTTGCCTCATATTTATACGTCAGATAAAGCGTCGAGGTGTATCATGGACGCCCATATAGCAAAATCAAGGGGGACACATTGGTGATATTATAATGTTCAGCAAAGATTTTCATTTCAGGGGGGGATCGATTGGATTGGGTGTATTTTGACGTATGAGGTGTCTCTAGATTTGTCTTGACAGCGCGAGTGACGCTGCGTATACTGGAAGATTTTTTAAAATCAAAATGGTAGATTTTTATCGAAAATTTCAACTTTGAAGTTGCCTTTTTGTGGGCTGCAGCTTAAGAAGCGAAGCTTGATGGTTCGTGACATATGAGGTTTCTCTAGATTTGTCTGGAGAGTGCGAGTGACACTGGGTGTACTAGAATGTTATAAACTCAAAATGGTGAATTTATTTTTTGATTACCTACGCTCAAACGTTCTCAGAATCTTGCAAAAAGACATACAAAAACGGAGTTTAAAAATGCCCTGAAACTGTTTATTCCTTGCTCATAAATAAGTTTGTGATGAGTTCAAAACCTTTTCCATCGATCTGGCAACGCAGCGCTAAAGCGTTATCGCAACAGAATGTGATTAAAAACAAATGGAACTTTTCATTGTTTTTTTTTTGTTTTGAATAAGTGGGCCTACTTGCCCTGCTCGAGTGGCCAAGTCAATGTTATATGTAGGTCTTATTATTGGCGAAAAGTAGGAGTATGCTACAGGTATACTCATTTTCAACGGGACAATTGTCAATTGCCCTAATTCGAACTTGTTTGTATTTTGGCATACTTTTATCTACAGGATGGTTATTACCTACCAGTGGCGTACCTACCAACAGAGGACAAAATTTACTTATCGAAATATATTAGAACATTGAACTTGTGAGGTTTATCATTAATATACGTATTCTTTTTGATGGAATATGTATGTATTTACTAGTTTTCGATGCTGCTAAAAAACGTGTTTCAAGAAATCAGAAATATACAAAAAATTTAATCGTGGCCTTTGAACTTAGATTAAGACCTCAACTTAAAAATGGTTCAGGACTTACGCCTATCAATTACCGGGGGAATATATGGAAAAATTCCCAAAGCGAGATGGGTATGTTAAATTTAACATAATATATCTTTTATTTCGGTTGCTCTGTCGTCTATCTGTATCTAGAAAAAATACTGATCGGATGTGATTAAAATTTTGACACAAGACCAAGACGACTACAATGTCAAGGATAAAGAACTGTTGTAGATGTTTAAAAGCAAGCCAGTGGCGACGAAGATATTATAGGCAAAAATCTAAGTTATGCAGAAAATGCTCAAACTTCGCTTTTCGATTTTTTCCGAGTTTCTGATAAGCTTTTTGCGTAGTCAAAAATCTTTCAGGAGATCTCAAACCTCGTCTTTCGATGTTTTGCAACTTTATGTGGTTACTTTAGGGCGTAATCTAGGTTCAAAAAAATTGAAATTAAGCCTTCCTATATATTCCACTTATGTTATTATTAACGATGCTTACAGTGGTTTTAAAATAGTTTATAGGCTTATAACATTTCGTTCAAAGTAGCGGAACACATAGTCAATTTACTTGACTCAATTTTAGGGTGTAGCAATAAAAACAATTGATCAAAAAATCATGGTTTAGTAAAAAATAAATTTACAACCATACAATATAATTAATTAATGTAACTAATTGTGGGTATAACGTATATAATAATTTATTATATTTAGGTATACATTGGCATTTTTAACAAAAAAGATATAAGTATTATATCAGATATTTTCTGATATAATACTTACGAAGGAACACCTTCTTCCCATGGATCCACTTCTAGGTTGCACCTAAAAAATAACTGAATACATTTTTAATTGTTTCAAGATGGTATTCTTATTGATGTCACCATACAAAAAGTGTACATACACTGAGAACCAAATTTGTCTGAAGGCTTTTGAGTTCAATGTGTCCGTCATCAGAGAAGTGTGTATACACACACATATATTAGAGAGAGATAGAAGCCGCCTGGATAGCGAAGCTCATCACCGTCTTTCCTAGCAATGCTGACGCGGTAATCTGCCGCGTTGCCAATATGCTACACCAGTTCCTTGAATTAAGATTCAGATTGAAAATATGGGTTAGTTTATTCTTCACGCCCAAATAATGGTTTCATTTTGAATGTATACATTTTTGGATTGTGAATTGTGACGAATCTATAATTCAGGATTGATTTCAGATCGGTCCTAACAGCGCTCCAGTTAAGGTCAAAATGAAAGAACACGATCGCCACAAATTCTTCAATATTGCACCATTGCATTGATTCGTTTGATAACACCACATCTTCTAAATTTTAGTGCAAGGTTTCCACCTCCATGATCATAGTTAAGCGACTTTGGTTAGTACCCATCTAGTGCTCGTAGGAGAGTGTCGTCCTGCTTCGAAATATCTTTCACATGCGAACACACAGGCAGTTTATCACCATCGGTGGAAAACAAAGATAATTCTAAAATAAATTAAAATACTAAGTCGTATCAGAATTGGAATAAATAATTCTAATCAAAATGAAAACAAAATATTAAATCCAATGTTCGAACAGACCTCGTTCTTCGGTTTGACAGTAACCTAACCTATTGTAGAAGCCTGTGCGAACATTTTCTGGTGTAACATAATTGGCAACGCGGCCGATTGTACGACCATCTGCGTCACATACAGACTTCTCGCGCTTCTCTCTCGTACACATTGAACTCAATCTGTCAGACAAATTTGGTTTTCCCTGTATACAGTGTGTCCCAGATTCGCTTCTCTATACAGGGATCTTGGCTCCTGTTATTCCTATAGCACAGGTTAAATGGGGATGGTTTTAGAGGAAACTTAGCGCTTTCGATAGCCGGCCTCAGATTTACCACCGGTCAGTTGGTTTTGAAAATAACAGCGAAAAAACGAAAAAGGCGGAATTTGTGTTTTGCCAGTAAATCCTTTCGGACATTTTTGTAAGAAAAATAAGATAGCTTGTATGACATGTCTCAATCGTCTTTTGTTTTCCAGCAATCCGTCGGAACTTTCATTTTTCTTATGGCCGCCGTATTGGATTTTTTTATTTCTGAAATGAGTGTAAAATTTCCAGTATCGTGATGTCTCACAAGTCCATAAAAGATTGGAGTATCACCGAAATATCATCACACGTAATGTTATGTATTAGTTTTTTTCTAAGGACGCCATGATTTATTTGTCAGAAAATAACATTAATGAGTAAAAAAATACATATATAAATGCCTTTAATTTCCATTAGAATATCAACGTTAATATCGACTTCTCAACAAGTCAAACGTTTTTGGACAAATTCCCAAATATGAGTTGTGTTGAAAAAACAAGTCAGAAAAATCGTCGTAAATTTATTTTACACTTGAACAAACAAACAATTTACAAAATTGTAATGTAATGTAAAATGTAATTATGTAAGTGGGTATTAATTTACAGATTTGCAAAATAACGTCCATTTGCATCCAGACATTTTTGACAATTAGTGACTGTTTTTCGTACAACCTTAGCTACTGGGTTTCATGAGGCTGCCGTCATTCGGGGTACATCTGAAAGTATCTTGCTGAGGTAATGTCGGCGTTTCTGTGTGACTGCAAGTACCGCGCTAACATGTCAAACTTTTCTTCATTTGAGTAGGGAATACCGTCCATTTTCAACAGTTTTTGACATTTTTTTCGTAAGATTTAAAGAGAGAAAACGTACCTACTACTTATTAAAACACAATTTTAGTACTTTGAATTATTTGGTCAGTCAGAGCCTCCTTCGATGAAAAAATGCCTTAATTATTCATTTTATTTTCTGACAAATTAATCATGACCTCCTTAGAAAAAACTGATACATAACATTCCGTGTGATATTTCGATGATACTCGAATCTTTTATGCACTTGTGATGTATCACTGGGCTGGAAATCTTACGCTCTTTTCAAAAAAAAATCCAATATGGCGGACATAAGAAGAATGAAAGTTGAGACAATTTCGGGAAAACAAAAGACGATTGAGACATGTCATACACGTTTTATTATTTGCCTAAAAAAAGCTGTTAAATTAACCGTTTCGGATTTACTGGCAAAAAAACAATGTTCGACATTTCCGGTCTTTCGCCGATATTACCAAAACCAATTGACCGATCGTAAATCTGAAGCTGCCTATCGAATGAACTAAGATTCTTTTAAAACTTGCCTTATTTAACCTTTGCTGTAGGTATAACAGGAGCCGAGATCCTGTATATAGAAGCGAATCTGGGACACACTGTATATAAGTTAACCGGAACATCAGTAGGACATTGAGGAGACTTTATTGTCTTAAATATTTTTACTGGAAATTATTTGTCATTTTTCAGTCCAAAAAGGACCAGGATCTGAAAGGTAGGTACTAGCACCATCGAAGAGACAATAGCAGAACACAAAAATGGATCTAGAAATCTACTCTGAACAGAGTTAGTATGTTTGGTTCTGCTACTGTCTCAGAATCATATGAATCTTCATTTCTTTTTTTGGTATCTATCTACTGCTTATTAATGATTGGGGTCTTCAGGCATTGATTAACGTTTTCCCAAATAAAAGTGGACATTAGAGAGGAGCCTAAAAAAGGATTGAAGATTCAGAGTCATCTATTTTTAAAGTAGATGCCTAAATTTATATATATATATTTTGCTACTTTCTCATATATGGTGCTAGTATACAGGGTGACTTCGAAGTTGAGTCATTTATTTTGACAGTGAGTAGATCTGATCAAAAGAAATGTTTTTTCCTTTACTATTTTTCTGCTAAAATTAAAGTAACAAAGTTATAGCCCTTTGGAAGTTTGAGTACCGCCCTGTCTCAATAATAATATCATGTGCTCGTGTTTGGCAACAACGGATATAATCCGCGTTATCGGTTCATCGCATCGGAAACAAAAAAGCGAAAGAATTTGGAACGATGTTTTTACAATTATTTTATTCAGTTCAGTTATACATACAGTCAGTGTCAATCGGTAACGCATGTGAATAGTGTCTGTTGCGTGGCTCAAACGAAATAAAAAATGGCACATGTTTATGCGGATCGGTTTCCCAATCGAGTGCAACCAACCCCTCGTGCCTTTGTTAATGTAGTACAACGGGCTCGTGAATCAGGTGACTTAAGACCTCACAGGGGTCCTCACGATCAAATACAGGTCCGCACTGAAATACTTGTCGGGAGGATACTTTATAAAACAAGGTAAAAATTTGTTTTTAGTTTTTTTTATTTCTACACACATATTTTGGTTTATCTTCCTTCTACAATCATTATCTGAAAATTAATTACTCAACTTCAAAGTCACCCTGTATCTATCAGATCCTTCTTTGGGTGCCCTTTCTTTTTGGACAGCATATGGTTGCCTAATCATCAGGCTTACAAAATAATATACCATTTTTAAAAGTCATAGCTACACGCTGGAAATAAAAACTCACCGAATAAAACGTATTCAGTGACTCAGTACTTCTGCATGACCGCATATCTTCTTTGTGATACTTCAATATCTGTTTATCTACTTCTATAAACAATACTGAATCTTCAAACCTAAGAATGATTTTTTTATTAGTATTTTGGAATTAATATTTTATAATCCTCTTTCACAAAACCTTTTTGAACCGTCATTTGACGTTGTATCCAATAGATCTTGCTCGGATTTTCCTGTGGCATTTTCAAAATTTCTTAGGATATTGGCTGTGAAGGTACCTTCATTTTTCAATTCCGATTTCTTCGTTTTTGCTGAAGCGTCCTGATCTGATTGACAAACATTCAAGCTTCTTCTCTTTTTGCGGCTAGAAGAAAAAATAACGTTTTGGAAAACTATCACATATTGCGTTTGCAAGTGTTAATTTAGGCATGTTGGAAAATATTCTTTTCGATGAGCTGGGAGTTTTACTACTAAGAAAAATTGCAAAAAATAATTTTGCTAATCGTAATTATGTAAAAATAGTATCATCTGTGAAATATGTGCCAATAAGCTGATAGAAATCGAAACTATATTTGTTTTAGGATTTCTAAGTTTGCGTAAATTGTAAAAAATAATATTACATTTTAATACTCACCATAACCATGCCACAGAAATAACAACTGATAATACTGCATTGATACTCAGAAAAATACTGAGCCCTGAAATCAATGAATCAAATATTTATCTAATATAGGTACCGTAAAATGGTCCTAATTTGCTCTTGCATTGATAATTATGCTCCAATTCCACAAAATGTTTTGCCGTCTAGTGTATCTCTTTGATACAATCCATCAAAATCCGAACGCACAAGAAACATTTGACTATTAAGTGGCAACATTGAACCAGCAGCTATTCTGTCCGTCATTCTGTTTCAATAGCAGATGCCAGTTTCGTGCAAGATTTTAAATCGTATATCTTTTAAGTACATTTTTTTGTTGTTGTTTTTTATATAATCAGCTAAGCAAAAATATTAACATTTAAACCCAAATGTATTTAATTGTTATATAAACTGGTAATATGCTTTCCAAATCGTAGTAACTACATTGTTTTATCATGAAATTTTTATTCTTTCAGAAACGATGCCAAGAAATTATAAAAAAAGAAAGACTGAGAGCTTGTGTGGCCTCGATAGAAAACAAAGAGGTAATCCAAAGGAGAAGCAGTGAGGAATATGGTATCCCAAGATAAACTATTATCAACCGATTAAGACTTCTGCGATCTAAAATACCATCTAGACCACCAGGCGCTCCGACTACATTTTCAAATGAAGAAGAAGCATTGTTTACGGAGTGTATTCTAAGATTAAGCGAATACGGATTTCCTTTGACAACTTTCGATCTTCGCGTCGTGATTTGGACGTACTTTGATAAAACTGGACGAAGAATTTTAAAGTTTAAAGATAATTGTCCATGTAGTGAGTGGGTGTCCAGTTTCCTGAAAAGGCACTCATGCTTGTGACAGAGATTTGCGGCCAACAGAGCAACAATTGACAAGGACACCATTACTGCCTACATACAAAACTTGGAAGATGTTGTTAGAGGTATTCCGCTCGAAAACATATGGAACTTTGATGGAAGTAACCAGTCAGATGAACCTGGTCAAAAAAGGTTATTGCAAAGCATGGCGCAAAATATCCAGAACTCCTAAGAAATACCTCCAAAAGCTCAACGTCTCTAATGTTTGCTGGAAATGCCGTAGGCGAACTACTGGCGCCATATGTTGTGTATAAGTCAAAGCAACTGTGGAGCACATGGACAGAGCATGGTCCAAAAAACGCCAGGTATAATAATAGTGCTTTTGGCTGGTTTGACATGAACATATTTAACGAATGGTTTTTCACTCAAATCCTACCAAGACTAAAGAAACAAGAAAAAGAAAATAGAGAGCTGACACAGCCTTCAATGTCGAAAACACCACATCGACGTAGAGCTAGTAGCGAAAGCACGAACGCAGAAAGTGTCAACATCTCAATCCACGACTCTTCAGATCCTGAAGAACTTGAAGATCAAACTAATCCAACAGCTGGAAGTTGTACCCAAAATAGAAACTTCACGCCCAACGTGAATGCAGTTGGGTAATTTGTGGTATTTACGTATGAGGGATAAATATCCAGGAAAGATTACAAAAGTATCTGAACAAGGGTCATATGGGTGTTCAATGAAAAAGTCTTTGAAATCCTGGAAGTGGCCCAAGGCCCCAGATGAAATCGAATATGACTGGGCAGAAATCTTGGGATGCATTGGTCCACCTCGAAAAGTTAGCAGTAGTCGTGAAATTTATCTAGTTCCTGAACTGAGCCAAACGGACTTTTGAATGTGTTCAGAGTATACTGTATGAAACAGAATAAAACAGTGTTTTGGTGAAGAAAATGTATAGAGAATAAACCTTTTTCGAAATTTTTTTTTCATATTATCACTTCATATGGCATTTAACGTGCTCGAAAGGTGCAATAGGGATAATTACTGTAGCAAAGATTGAACAAAGACGTCATAAGTTTTCTGCAAAAACTTTTATAACCAAGATTGTTCGAATACAACAACCATGAGCAAAGGTACCCATGACAATGGTTAAGATTGCTCCATAATGATTGTTTTATATATATGATGATGTAGTTCATCTGACGATGACTTGCATATAGAATGCATTAGTTAATATGTTTATCTGTTTACGATAGTATGTGGTTATATCTAGTAATTCATAATTTAAAAAATATTCCGAGTATCCTAAGTTTGGAGCAAAGTAGGACCTCTTTACCGTACATAACAGATTTTTTTGGAACAGATAATACGAGTATTTATATTTCTATTGGCTAATAAATTGAAAGTGTACACATAAAATGTATATAATGTATATAAAATTAGATCAAATAAAACTATATGGCAATACATTAAAAAAGAATATAGGTATTCACCCTATAAACCTAGTTGTAAGATTTATTTTCTTTTTGTTCCGCACTTAACATCTGTATATGAAGTTAGTAGGTACACAGATATACTTACACAAAGGAAAATACATAACGTTTTTTTTATAAGTAAAATAAACAGTTACGTTATAAATAACTATTAGAGGGTTCACAGATTCCACATGTAACAACACACATACTACCTACAATATAAACATATAGAAAGGTTCGGCAAATTTTTGTTTTTATGCAGAAGAGGTACCTACAGAATTTATAGTCTAGTGTTCAGTGGTTTTTAAAATATAATCTTTTTTCTTTGTTTTTACGTATTTTTCGAATTCTATAATTTGTTAAGTTGGTCTTTGTTCTATGGCATAGCATAATTGCTTCAACCCCCTATTCTTCAAATTTTGAAATGTAAATTTTGATTATGTTTCTGTAATATGGCGCATGCTCACCAACCAGGTGTACATACAACTAATGGGTATTGGGCAAAGCCACAGCCAAATTCTTGCCCATTTGATTTGTGGCTAATAACAACTAAACAATGAGGGAAGGGGATTGTCATAATTATCAAAAATCACAAATTCTTTATGCCTGAGGCACACCTTTTTGAATAGGTCAGTGAGAGAATTTCTTGTGGAGGATTCATTTTGTCTAATTTAAGGGTCGATGTGTGCTTAGGATTGTTTTATTCTACCATTCAAAAAACACCAGAAGATTTGCTAACCAGACCAGAAAAACCGCAGACCACTGGATTGATCTAAAATCTACATCCACACATGGTCTACACATAATCGGTCTTTTCGTCGACCAGACTGTGGCGGAGCGCAGAGCAGAGACAAATTTTATTTAGAATTATAGTGCCATCAGCACTGTGTTAGCGTAATCTATTTAGGTTTTAAGAAAGAATTCTATTTCAAATCAAAAATGTTCGTCGCGCCATCTCTAGTCACTACTTTTAAGCAAATATTCGAAAAGATAAATATGATGAATCTGTTTCTCAACACAATCCACAAAAGACTGAAGAAGTGGGAGCTGCACGTTAAACAATGGCAACACCGTTGACGTTTTGTCAGATGGTTGCGCCGCCTACGCCAGGCAAAATCGAGGTAACTGTATTACCGGCATCTCGTGACGTGTGCTTGCCGGGATTTAGGGTTCCCAGGCGTGCCAATTTTTCGCCAGTGGCGATTTGACGGCTCCAAATGGATATTTTGGCGATTGGCTACTTTAATAGCGCCCAGTATCCAGCAAACTGGCCAAAGCTGGCGATTTTTAACATTTCTGGCGGCAATTAATTTGTAATCAATGTTTGCTATGTGTATACAGGGAAAATCAAATTTGTCTAACGGCTTGAGATCAATTAGCCCGAGAGAGACGCGCGAGAAGTGTGTATCGACAGGTTAGAAAGAGATGGAAGCCAGCTGAAAAACGGTAGCCTAGCAACGGCGACGCAGAAGCTCGTGCAAGCTTCCGCGTTGCCAAAATGTTAAAGCAGAAAATGTTCGCACAGGCTTCTACAATAGGTTAGGTTACTGTCAAACCCAAGAAGGAGGCCTACTCGAAGCAGGGCGACACTTCTCAATGAGCGCTAGCTGGGTACTGACCAAAATCGCTCGTCTATGATCATGGAGGCGGAAACCTTACCTTGGAATGTACAAGTTCCGTAGAGAGTAAACTAACGCATGTTTTCAACATGCACCTTAATTCAAGGAACTGGTATAACGTAATGCCAACCAGAGCAGATTGCCGCGTCAGCGTTGATAGGCAATACGGTGATGAGCTTCGCTATCCAGCTTTTATCTCTTTTTAACATATGTGTCTATAGACAATTCTCTCGAACACATGAACTCAAGCCGACAGATTAATTTGGTTTTCAGTAGAGATTACATGAATCGAGGACCAGCGGCAGTTCTGTTCTCTAAGCACAATTACGCTTATGGTCAAATGTCTGTCAAGGTGTCGTGTGATCCGAGCATATTAACGACATCCCGTCCTAACACTTTTGACACAGTGTTGTTTGATGTACTTCGTGTCGTTAATATTACACGTGTCTAACAACCCCCCATCCTCACCCCCCGCTTTTCAATGGATTCGCGGAGTGTTATTATGCCTAACCTCCCTCACCACCGCTCTTCAGTTATCGTCAACAGGCAGGCTACTTTGGCGCTTAGGCCAGTCACTACTTACTACTTCACCTCCTCGGGCGACAAATCCATTCCAATCTCTAACCTGGAGTTTTATCGTTTGACTCTTAGATAATTTGTATTGGCGATTTTCTCATCAAAACCTGGCAACCCTGCCGGTATTCTCTATTGTTATATGAATTTCTGAATGTAAAAATATCAAATATGGCATGGCGTTTTTTTTAATATCGAGATTATCAACACTGATGCTTTTGGAGATATATTGTAAAAAATGAGCATAAAAATAAAATATAAACAACACTATCAGTACCTGTATACGTGAAATGTATTGTGACTATTGTTGGAAGATGCAGAAGCTCAGGAGACTCTGTCATGTCATAAAGTGCTACAGGTAGGCTGCGAACTTAACATATCGGAATGATGTATTCGGTAGATTATTTAAAATTGCATGCCTGGATTCAGCCCCTTTATAATCCTTGTAGTTGGCACCGTTGTATTAAGTATGAAAGGCCAACAAATTGAAGGGATAGAACTGAGCAAACTAATAATGAAAATTGACTAGGTTATTTACAAGGAATTATGAATTACATTAGTGTTTTCTATATTGTTTCAGACTTGTTAAGAAGCGGTAAAATGAAGTCAGACACTTGAAATGAATTAGAAATAAATCGATCTATATTTTCATGTAATACAATTTCCATACAATTGTCAACGGCATATGAATATTTTTTAAACTAAATAAATTTGGTGCCTCATAATTATTAGGGTTGGATTTTATTATGCTGAACCTTTTTCTCAGTAAAATTGCTGAAAGAGATATTACCCCTATTGGGATATTTTTTTGAATACATGTTCATGAAATAATCTTTCAATATGGGATTAGCATTTTCAGCAGATTTCAAATCATGAACAAACGACATCCCCGGCAGCCCAGCACATTCCCTATTCCAAGCGCATTATCGGCATTCTTTGGATAGTTCCCCAGATCTCCAGGCAGCCGGCAGCGCAACCATCTGACAAAACGTCACCGGTGTTGCCATTGTTTAACGTGCAGCTCCCATTGACGTCTTACCCATACACTTCTTCAGTCTTTGAATTAATGGTCTTTCACTTGACAGATATTGTCAAAATTGTCAAATTCCTGAGTCGTGTGCCAGTCCATAGCGTCCATTGACCATTCCATTCCAACAAACTGGTGACAAATTGGCATATTGGATGGAAAAATCCATTTTACACAAAGTTCTCCTATTAAATAATCCATTAAGAGTATAGTTTATTGGGAAGTTTCACAATGGATGGAAAGTAAGTATGAAACAACATTCGTCTGTCTACAGCCATTCGTAACTGAATTGTTTGTAGGGTTTGTGAAGCCTCCGAGGAGGTGAAAGCGAAGAAACACAAACACAAAAAAGAGCACAAACACAAGAAGGAACATAAGCAGAAGTCCGAAAAGGTCAAGAATAGAAAACATAAAAAGCACAAGAAACACAAACATAAAGATGAGTCACCTGCAACGAAGAAGCATACAGCTATCGAGGAAGACATCGATACTAATACAAAAGCTATTATAAATGGGAAAGTACCAGATGTAGAAAAAGCTCCGCTGGCTGATATTGACTCACTTGTTGATTACATTGCTGAAGATTTAGGTGAGTTCACTCAGCAATGTTCTTGAATATGAACATTATGAAAAAAAAACAACATCTATCTATACTGCTGTCATAAGCCAGAAGATACTATCTGCTAATTTCTTATTTTACAGGAGCGATGAGAATGTATTATAGTTCTCCTCCAATTGTAACATTTTAAGGAAAGATGATCGTTTTGGCTTGTACTCAATTAAAATTGATATTTCCTAATGAATTCATTAATTTTACCAAGGATGCCTATCTTTGTTATTTGTGAAGGATTTAGATGAACACATAATTGATAATAATTGTCTTTTGAAAACCTTTGTTGATGACACAACTGTAACAGTATCAGCAAATTATCTAGAGGATCTAGAAAGTAAGGCTAACATTGTAATGCAAAGTTTTCAAAAGTGGGTAGTATTAAATAAGTTACTAATTAATTCAGATAAAACCAAATACGTCTTGTACCATAAACAAAGGCTATAGAACAATATCACAGTTACAATAAACAATAAGTCACTGAAAAGAGCACCAAAATAAAATTTTTAGGTGTAATAGTGAATGAACATGTGAGCTGGAAAGACCCCAAAGAGTATGTATGTATGTAAAAATGGATTCAGCATTTTTTGCTCTAAGGCAAATAAAATATATAATGGATAAAACACACTTATTGAACAATCACTATAATGTTTATTCCACCTATGTTAAGTTAGCAGCCAATTCTTCCAGGCATTTGTGTGAAGTTAGCAGCTATTTTTTTGTACCAACTTTTGAATGATTGCATTATATTTCTAGCTAGTTTTAGCAACAGACTGCGTCAGAAAGAGTAGTTTCACCATTAGTGCAAAAAAAAATTTGAAAGAGGTAAGCCATTTTTCAAAAAAGCTAACACCATAGATGAATAATAAAAAAGAATAAAGTGTATCGTTTATATGTAGGCATCGAAGTTAGATTATTTTCTACCTAACGTAGGGGTAGCTTATACCCTCAGAACATTGCCTTTTTATATCTCCCTCCTAGTTGGAAACAGAATTGCAGATTAAAAATAAATGAATATTGTTTTACTTGTAATTATTGGGTCACTTCTTTGGTCCTGTCAAAGTGGTGGACTTTAATATTAAAAATGTGATTTCTGCATTTTTAACCTAGCCAGAAAAAAGTTACAGGCTTCGGACAAATGAAAGAGTTTGATTTTGCCTCTTTAACGTCAAAAATGCGGCTTTTTGCATTTTTCAACTAGCCAGAAAAAAGTTACAGGCTAAAAATGTATCAGAAATGTTTGTCCGGAAAGTAATAGGACTGAGTCGATTTAAAAAAAATTATTGAGCCAATCGTTACAATTCTATAAAAACTTTCAAAATAGGCTACTTATGCGTCGATGCAGTGCTGCCAGCTCGATTTCCAAGCATTGAAGGTGTCACGGAAGGCATTCTCCAGAATAGCCTTGAGAGCTGCGGTGCATGCTGCTTGGATCCCCTCTGTCGTCTCAAAATGCTTGCCTTTCATCTGCCTTTTCAGACGAGGAAACAGAAAAAGTCCGGGGGGCCAACATCTGGGCTGTAGGGCGGCTGCGGAAGCGTTGGGATGCCGGCCTTGGTCAGGTAGCTGTTCACAAGAAAGGCGGTGTGAGCCGGGGCGTTGTCGTGGTGCAACTTCCAGTCGGCTGCGATGTCTTGTCGGACCCGAGTAACCCTTCTTTTGAGTCTCCTGAGCACTTTCACGTAAAACTTGGCGTTGACGGTTTGTCCAGGAGGAAAAAATTCATGGTGGATGAGGCCTTTGATGTCAAAAAAGACAATGAGCATCGTTTTCACTTTGGATTTGCTCATTCTTCCCTTTTTTGGGCGAGGAGACGCCGTCGTGTGCCACTCGGAAGATTGCCTCTTTGTCTCGGGATCATACTCGAAGATCCACGACTCGTCACCTGTGATTACGTTATTCAAAAATTGGGGGTCACTTTCACACATGTTAAAATTTTCTTGGCACACTTCCACTCGCCGCAATTTCTGGTCGTCAGTGAGCACTTTTGGGACCATATTCGCGCACACCTTGCGCATGTCCAAATGCTGTCCGAGTTCAAAATTTTGCGCACACGAGTCACATTATCGGTGTTTGTCGCTGCATTTTCGGCTTGCACCACTCACAGAAACACGTCGCTCCGAAGTACAGTCATGGCGGAAGAAAATGAGTCCTATTACTTTCCGGACAAACCCTGTATAAGGCCATGTAGATTCTATCTTCTTCGGACCCGTCGAATGGGTTGATTTTACCTCTTGAACGTCAAAAATGAGGTTTTTTGAATTTTTCACCTAGCCAGAAAAAAGGCTAAAAATGAATCAGAAATGTTCCTTTCATTAGTAGCTATAAGGCCTTGGAGATACCATCTTCAGACTTGTGGAAGGTGAAAAATGCAAAAACAAATTTTTACATTCAAGGGGTTGGAAGAAGATGGGATATCCATAGCCTTATCCCTGTTGCAGCTATATTCAAAATTTTATTACTTTTAAATTTTCCTCTACAAGTCTCTCTAGCGGACATTTTTAGGATGCACCTCAGCACTTGCTTCTGCACAAGATGCTATTGGTATGAGTACTATGTCCTGAGAAACTATTCCATTTTTAGTGTTTGAAGGACTAGGTACTCTAATGCTATAGCATGTGTTGTTTAACCTTTTTTCTAGATGTTCTATATGTTTAGCCCAGGCAAGTTCTTGGTCAAGAATTTCTAATAGTCTGTCAGCAGAACTTCTACTCTTTCCGCTAAAGGACGTCCCACTTTGTACATTTTTGCGACCTCAGTAAACGAAATGCCAAGGTCTACTTTTCGCAAAATTTCCATTTTTTTTTTTACTAAAATCAATGTCTCATGTTTACGTTTTGTACTAGTTGCCGCCATTTTTTCCAAATAACTGTATACAAGTCTGCACGCTGTTGTTTCGTACGGCGGACTGCGGAGAGTTGGTAATTCGCAGTAATTCTCAAAGCAGAGACGGCGGATTACCAAGTTAAATGTTTAAGAATGGGCGGATTGTCGAGTTGGTGTTAATGCTACTAAAACGGCGGATTACCGTAGTGGGCGGATTATCAAGCGGCGGATTATCGAGAGAGTACTGTACTACAATTGCTACGAATGACCTAATTATTTTAGCAATGAAAAATGCCAATGTTGATTATCAGCAGTGATTGGAGTTATTAAATTTAAACCTATGTAAAACAGTTGTTTTCATTGATAAATAAATGCTTCTTAAATTATATTTATTGTTTATTTATCTTACCTTGATGAATTCTTGTAATGTTTCTTAAATAGATTGACAAACTTTTGACATGAATTCTGAAACAGTTGATTTTCCGAGCCGAAACAGATGTCCTACTAGATCCGGTATCAAGAACATAGAGAATTGCCTGTAATTTTGTCCTAGCGTGTATTGCACTTCTTGAATATCTTCACGCTCAATTTGTGACTCCAGTGTCATTGAGAGAAAATTGAAACAAATTTCAGACATTCTTAAAGTTCTGAAGTATTCTTTGGGATCTTCTAATGCTAATTTCTTTAGAAGAGAATTTGTAGCCCCTAGTTCTTCTCTTCTATTAATCCATGTTCTTACCCATAGCGTTTTTTCTCATCACACAAATTTCTTCTTCCATCTGCTCTATGTTGGCTACTTTCATAAGCTTTATTAGATTATTCACTTTCTTGCGTTGTAGTGTGTTCATCTTGGAAAACAATACTCACTTGTATATTGTACTCGACTAGAGTGCGAATGATTTTTCGGCAGTAGCGAGTATTTTAGTTACTAAACTACTTGCCACCCGACTAAATTACTAGCTGGCCAATAATATTTAGCATATGAAACCAATAATTTTTTTTTTACAGTATCCTTACAAATATTCTGGATGACCGACGAAAAGGATGTAAAAATATGATGAATTCGATGTGATTATGTGTATGTGTATCTGCTAGCGCCGCGCCGTTGCTTTAGTTAAAAATTGAAACACAACATCTATATCGTTTCTAAGCAAGAATACTGTCACTTACGATGTTTTAATTCATTGTTGTGCAGATACTGTATTCTAATTTAAGATGATCATGCTGAGTGAAATTAGAAGTGTTACACCCAGAAAAAATGATTTCATCAACTTGATTTTTTGGCAATGAGGTAGTGTTACATCAGGAATGAAACGATAACATTCTCACGAAATTTTATTGACAAGTAATAAGAAAAAAAATAATGTGTTTGGCGACCCATTTCTGTATACGTCTAGGCATCGACAAAATGATATGATCGATGTCTAGTTGTGGCACCTCATTCCCAGCAATTCGAACTTCGGGGATTAGCTGTGGCGGATAGTGCAAAGTCGATAGTCTCCTCCCCATCATATCTCACAAATGTTCCATGGAATTTAAATCAGGTGAACAGGGTTATCACGGCAAAACATTAACGCCTGCTTCTTGAAGAAAGTCCGTAGTATTACGAGCAATATGGGGACGTGCGTTGTTTTGCTGAAAAAGGACGTGTGGACGGCCTTCTAGATACGGCAGTAAAGTGGTTTGTAGGACATCATCAACATCAACATAACGCTCAGCAGTCACATTGAACAAAGAGACGGGGCGATCGGCTACCATAGGCAATAGCCCCCCAAACCATTACTCCAATATTCCAGTGTGCATACGTCTCAACAGCAAATCCAATATCACGCCGTTCTCCACGGCGGCGTCTTACCCTTCTACGACCATCATGCGTACCAGTCAGAATCATGTTGAAGAAGATATGTTTTCTGGGTGTAACACTTCTAATGTCATTGAGTACAAAAATGCTAGATAGTGTAAAAGAAAAAAATTGTTTTTTAGGTAATTATCATAATATATACTGGATTTTATCTTCGAAATATGCTTCCTCTACGTGCCTTTCATATTTTAATGACGATATCTCATTTTCGTATTTTTTGCACTTACGCGTTCTGGCTTATAAAGGCAGTATAATTGCCAGTTCTATGTTGCAGTAGAGATGTAATTGTCAGTTATAAGTAGCAGTTACCCCTAATTGTCAGTTACATGTTGAAATTAGCTATTCTTGTCAATTATAAATTACAATTATCTATAATTGTCAATTACAAGTTACAGATGGCCATAGTTGTCAGTTACATGTCGAGGGCTTAGTGACAAAAGAGGCTATCTACAACTTTTGTGAACGACTTAAATCATGATTTTTTTCAATGTTAATTGTGATTTAAATAAAATTATTAATTGCTTTAAAAATTAGTTGCCAAAGCAAATAACTGCAATAATTTAGCGGGGAATTCAAACAAAAGGTATGCAAAACTAAGGGTTTTGCAGACATTATCTAAGTTTAAAAACATAACTAAACCTCATCAGTCCATTGTAAATGTTCATAAATTAAACTTGAGAAAACAGTTTATAGTTTATAATTCTACATGTATGAATAAATAATAAATAAAAATTATTAACCAATAGATCAATATTGGTATTATAATATTGCTATTACTCAAGCTAACCTACTAAAAACATAACCGCAAAATTTGTGTTTTGGAAGTCAATTGTAATACATATATACAGGAAAACTAGTTTTAGATAACAAATATTTTTGGGCGAATAGAGAAAAATAATAAAAATAAGTTATTTCAAAATTCGTTATATTTAACGAAAAAATCAATACAAATTGGTGAAAATCAAAAAAAGGACAGTTTTTTTATTTGTTCAACACTGACTATAATCATTAATTAACATATTCTACCTGATACTGTATGTGCATCAAAAAAATTCTCAGATATCAGATTGATAAAATTAGTGAATCATAGATGGCACTTGTTTTACTATGTGTATAGATTTCCATCATTGAAACTCTCGCATTTCTTAAGAAGACAAGTATGATAGAAATAATTATTATGAAAGGATGATACAACTTCCATTTTTCAATATATCATAATGTAGGTTGCCTAAACTTCTGGATTATGATTTTACTGGAGTAATAAATTTTGAGTTTATATTGTGTTTTCTTTTGTATTATTTTCTTTCACTTTCTATGTTTCAAGAAACTTATTGTATATGTAATATAGTAATAAATATACATATTCTTTGTTTAGGTGAAAAAAGAATGATGGAAGTAGTTTCCTCAGAGAGTGATGGGGTCCCAGAAGCGGATTGTGACAGTGTGGACATTGACATGTCTGTGATTGAGGCAGATATGGACCTTGAGGAACTCATGAAGCAAAAAGAACTTCTGCAAGCCCAACTGATGGCTAGTGAAGTTGAAGAGGTTGCCCCACCACCTTTTGTTGCTAAGGCTAAAAATGGAAAAATTGATGAGGTACATAGGTATACATGGCATTCTCTATTTTTTTTTTCAGTAAAACTACTCGCTACCTTCCACATATTATCCAAATGCACTGGTTTCTTGAATAGAAGAAATAAGAGTTTTTTTAAACTTCGTTTTTACATTAATGGTATCTGCAGCTTGAAAAGGATTGCCTGGATTCATTTTTTGCACCTTAAGAGTACTTTTAACTCCTCGAATGGGAAAATTGAAAATTTTAAAAAAGTTTTTAGTAAGCCTGATAAAACGGCGATTCAATTTTATTCCATTTTGAGGTGATCCTGGTTGATTCAGATGATGGAGATACAGCAGTTCCTACAAAAAGGAAAAGGTCACGGAGTAGAGACCGTAGAGTGCAGGTTAAACCTAAAGAAGACACGAAACGAAAGCGAACTCATAGTAGAGAAAGAAGCAGTAAAAACTATGATAAAGAAAGCCATGGTCATAGTCAGTCTAGCTATGGGGCTAGGAGATCTATATCTAGAGATGTGAGGTAAGACTTTCTTCATAATAATTATAATAATTTTGTTGCTTTTGTGGTTATTACCGAATGAAATGAGATGATTGTTGTGATTTATTTATAATTATCTTTACTCAGGCATGATAGAGAGAGAAATAGTTATAATGATAGGATAAAGCATAGGCAAGGAAGAGACACTAGAGAATCAGAAAGGGAAAGAGACAATACTAGAGAAAGGGATAGGAGATCTAGGGATATAGGACGTAGGAGTTATGATGAAAGAGATAGACAAAGAATGGGAAGGGACAGGTAAAGTTCTGAATTAGTAAATTCTGTTGTAGACTGTTCATACCAAAAGCAACTGACAACTGCAGTCTGACTTGGCACATGTATTTAAATACAAGTATTCATATCAAAGGAAGATGTCATCTGTGGATGTCAGCTAATGTTCCTGCCATGAATTCAAAAAATTGTTGATTGTCAGTTTTTGTGTTCCTTGAAGTGATTCAGTTAGAGCGGCAGTTTTGAAAATCTTCCAGGTGTTCTACAATTGATATAATATATGTAACAAGCTCGTTATGGTGTATAAGGGGATCATTAGAATCAAGAAACAAATCACCATATGAGGTGCTACTTCCTGAAGATCATTAATGGCACGTGATATTTGTTATCTGTTGGGCGTTTTTGGAAAATGAAAAATACCAGATAGGTCGATTGATTGGTGTCTCTAGATTTTATTTGACAAATACCTTAGACCAGTTTTTAATCAGTTCTTTCAAGAAACAAAATAATCTATTCATATTACAACTTTTTTTTAGAAAGCATATAGCCAGTGACTTTATTCACAACCTCCAAATGAGGTGCCCAGCCAGGTGCTTGGCAATTGCTTCAGCAGGAACGCAAATGCAATGCAACTGAAGTCGAAAACTGATTTCCATTGGGTTGCTTTTGGTGGGGACAGTGCCTTAGAGATATACTTTTAAAATTGATCAATCATTCGAATCAAAAACGTCCTATGATGACATTTTTGGAAATAAAGTTCAAATCGATGAATTATAGGAATAGATCCAAAGAAAGGGATAGACACAGACACTCACATAGTCATAAACACAAGGATAAGTTGAAGAATGAAAAACAAGATATGTTCAAGGATTCTCTCAGTGAGGGTCAGAAGAATGTTGTCAGCAGTGATAGCAGTGAACCAGAATTTGATGTGGATTTGAATGAAGAAGATGAAGAAGCTATTATAGAGAAAAGAAGAAAACAAAGAGAGGACCTATTGAAGGTATGTGATAGCAAATTATATGTTCAAAATTAACATACTATATTCAAGAAAAGTCTCAAGTTGTCTCAAGAATTTTGCTCCAAAAGATCTGTTCTTATAAAAATATCCCCTTTTTTACTTCGCTCGCCTAGTGGCTGGGAAATATTGTACTCGCGACCAGATCTTGTGAAGAGTAGGCATTTACACTACCAACGTTTTGCATAAAGCGATCCACCAAATTAGAGAAATCAAGGTGCTTAAAGACAAGCCTTTCAGTATTTTTTTTAAAACTGATTTCGAAGTTCCCTCTGAAGAGATTAAATATTGAGAGGAGACGTGGCAGACCATCGAATGCTTCGATTCATGCATTGCTTAGTAAACCCCTCGAAAAACTGTGGCCAAATGGGAAACCTATAGCAGAAAAGAAGCTAAATCATTACTAGTCTTATATACAAGGAATCCAAGAAGTTTTATAGGAATCTAGTTGGCGATTCAAGTATTGAGGATGATATAGATGGTTCAATGGTCAACCAGATTTCGAGCTTGAGGATGAATAGTACAAATTTTCGATTCAGGTTCTTGATTCATTTCGAAAATGTGTGGTTGCTTCTTTCTTCATTTTATTTTGGAGTCAGTATATAATTGAGTCTATTACAACATTTGTCGTTCAAGCAATCTCTTATTTGCTTTCGGGAATGCTTTAATTTGTGTAATTATAATTTTTCAATGAATTTGATGCTAATTACTAAAATACAAAAATAAAGAATCTTTCTGTAATGCGCTCCTTATTTTGCATAGCATGACCAAGTAACATTTTTGTGTTGAGATCATTAAGTCAAAGGAAAAATGAGCATTCTCTTTGAAAGCAATACTTGACCAAGCGCCATTTCATTTCATTAAGTTTTAGGTATAAGAATTTTTAAAAAAATTATTGCATAAATAAATTTGTAATATCATTTTCTATTCACAGAACAAAAATCATTCAACACAATCGTAGCATTAATTTTTAATGAATTGTTAAAGTTTATTCATTCTCCTGAAAACAGAGATTTGTCGATTGGTCAAGTCATGCATAACGCGGTCCAATTAGATATATTTCACACGTCATATATTTCTCTGTACATTGGCCCTTAAATTCTCGGCAGACGTACCTACCGGCCGCGACTGCGAAGTGTTCTGTTGTTTTAGAATCGTATCACACGTATTTCTGTCGCCTCAGCATAGTGTTTCCTATGCTCTGACCGCGCTGCCACGTCTGACCAAGTTAAATATCTGGAAGAGGCGACGTTTTCATATGCACTACCGGTAGGGCAGTGAAATAATGTCTATGGACTAATTTTATGGACCTGTTTGACTTTTTTCTCAGAGTCTAGTTTGTGCTGAACGTAATCCTTTATTAGCTGATAACGGCGTCGCATGGCAAGTGCAGAGTCAACCTACTCGACGCCATTTTTCCAATATGTATGCTTTAATTTGTTATAGCAAAGGTAATCATAGAAATTAGTGATGTATTACAATTACTTCTTTTTCTATACTGAGCCCTGTGCAACAAGATTTTGTGTTTTATTTTTCTGTTTATTGCAGTGCCTCATACCCTCAGTATACGTCCTTAGTAGTCAACACCATACCCAACAAAGGCCCATTTTATATAGTTTATTTTCATGACTTACTGTATCAAACGCATTTTGTACGTCAATACATATAGCAATTGCAAAAATAATTTTGTATTACTCATTTGGAAGGCAACTTTGGCCATTTTTTGTACATATATGGCAGTGAAAACACTTGGAAAATATCCCATTATGTGTAACTGATATATGCTATTGCTTCAAAGTTTTTCGTTATAAGTATAGATTAATATGCTATCTGAAGATAGCCAACCTATTACTATATTCGCGCGTCCGAAAAATTATCTGAGATGAAATGAGATACTGTAACGTCATCGATGAGCATTTTTCACAGCTGTTTCGCCTCTCTGGAATAATTAGAAATCCACTTTGAAAGTGTTAGTACCGCTGTTGCTATATGCTAATATAGGTGTATAATGTATGAGACACTAACCTTTTCAAAGTAGATTTCTAATTGTTGCAGAGAGGGGAACATAGCTATGGCAAATTCTAATAGATGATGCTACAGTATCTCATTTTATCTCGAATAACTTTTTGGACGCGCGAATCTAGTATTAGGTTGTCTATGTTAAGGTAGAATACGTTAATCGATGTTATAAGTGTTCATGGCTAAAAAGCAGCAAAATCGTTTTATATATATGTATAAAATATATATATATATATATATATATATATTTATACGACGGGAAGGATAGCTGATCCATTTTCCTTCTGTTTCAAGCGCTTGGGTGCCGCACCTCTGCATAGTGACGAGTCCAATATGTCAATGCCCCCTACTTCAGACCAAAATCAGCAAAACTTTTCATCAGAGAAAGAAAAGGAAAAGAAACCTACAGAACAACCGCTACCCGCTAAAGAAGAAGCCAAAAAAAAAAATGGTAAAGCAGAACAAGAAGTAAAGAAAGAAGAGGAAAAAGAGGAAGAAGAGTCACATACACCTCCATTGCTGCCCAGTATGAAAGTGGTGATCAAGCAAGATGAAGAGAAGAAAGATAAGTGCAAAAAGTCTGATTGGGACATGTTTGCAGAACAAGATATATTCAAGTCGGATACAAATGTAAATAATCACAAATATTGTAACATCACCATCATCACTAAATTCACAAAAGCCTTAAGATTCACAATGTTCACCAACGCCAATGTCATCAAAAACACAGCAAAATCACATACAAATTCCAAATGAATGATGCTGTTATTTTTAGAAGCAACTACATTTTTGTAAAGCTGGGTGTTGAAACTAACATCACCCTACTTAAACAGCTTCTCCAGTTTTTATTTTTTTAACTACGAATGTGCCATTTTGTCTAGCAGATGGTCTTTAAAGTTTCAGAATCTGTGGGCATATGCTTTTTTCAATTTCAGTCTCCAGCCATTGTACCCAAAGGTTCAGGTCAAGAAAATCCCTCTTTGACAGACAACTGGGACGATGCTGAAGGATACTACAGAGTGAGAATTGGAGAAATCCTGGATAACAGGTACATGGTGTATGGGTACACAGGTCAAGGTGTGTTTAGCAACGTGGTTAGAGCAAGAGATCAAGCCAGAGGCAATCAAGATGTTGCTGTCAAAATCATCAGGAATAATGAAATCATGTAAGTTTGTTTGTTTGTTGTAGATTTATTTAGCATTAATGCATCAATATCAGTATTACACAGCATACCTACCACATAATATTTTGTCTTCAGGTCTACATATTTTTTTACAAAATTTCTCTGCTACGAATTCTGGTTTTCCATGAAATATTTTTTCAATTTCCCTTTGAACATTTTCAAACTGGCACCCATCCTGACATCGTTACTTAATTTATTAAATTCGTACAACCCTTGTTCTAGTACTGATCTGTTTGTTATATTCCTACTACAGAGCCAGAGTCCGTGTGGCATCCCCCCCCCCTTTCCCATGTATCCCCCTATAGCCCCACGGCACCCAATGGGTGCTTAGGCCTTAGGCCTTCGTGGTAGTTGGAGTATAAAAAAAAAAAAAAAGAGTTTTGTAAATGAAAGTCTATACTCCCCCTAGTAGAATGACTAAGGAACTTAGTGTTCAATTCAATAAAATTGTGTAAGATAATTTTTTTAATTTGAATATGAAAATGAACACCAAGTAGCTTATGAAATGTTTGATATTTAACCATTGTAGTTCTGTCAGCATAAAATTTATTCTATTACATTTTTCTCTATTTAAGATGATTTTCGCAGCTTTATTTTGTACTATTTGCAATTTTGTGATATTATACACAAAATAATATATTCATAGTGCCCTTCAAATTTTAATTCACCATCTACCTATATGACCAAATATTTAAATGATCCGGGTAACTCTCTTAATTCACTATTTTTTAGCATATGGTTGCAGCATATTTGGAAGTGTCAAAATGAAAATCTGAATATAAGATTTTCCGAAATTTTGTTCACCTTTTACATTCGATGTAAAGTGTACTTCAGGAAATCAAAAGTAATAATTGTCTCAGTCGATCGAATTCTAGAATTTTTGCACTGTGTTCAGGGCGCACCTTGTAATATTCCTTTTAACCTTCCAATGTGGTATTTTCTACCTAGAAAATATTGCATTTTTAATAGCTGAATTAGATTAATCTTGTTTTTTGTTTGACCTATTTGAAACTCGTAAATTGGGAGATAATAATTATAGAATTTTATATACGTTTCTTGAAGCTTGAATGACGCTAGAGGAAATATCTCTCATTGGAAACAATACCAGCAGTTCAGTGTCTATGCTATTTTGCCTTGTTTAGTAACATTTAGCACTATAAAAACCGAAACTTCCCAAATTCATTATCACAATGGTAGATATGCACAGCATAGAATCTCCCGGACATCGATGACATCCTGTAATGACAACTATAACAACCAACTGTGAAATGCGATTGTCAAATCCCCCTTTGAACGTTCCTCAACGAAGCATTATTGACACTAAATTCGCTGTATCCCGGCAAAGGAATCAGTCAATAGAATTTGATTTTTTTTTTCGTGGTGCCGATATTATTGGTATGCAGTCGAAATAACATTTTTGGAAAAACTCCATATTTTGCTTTCCCTTTTCAGGCATAAAACAGGCTTGAAGGAGCTAGAAATTCTGAAGAAACTAAATGACGCAGATCCTGAGGATAAGCTCCACTGTCTCCGTCTGATCCGTCAATTTTTCCACAAGCAGCATCTGTGCATGGTGTTTGAACCACTAGCTATGAACCTCAGAGAAGTATTGAAAAAGTATGGGAAAGACGTCGGATTGCATATCAAAGCCGTCAGAAGTTATACTCAACAGTTATTGTTGGCATTGAAGTTATTGAAGAAGACTGGAATATTACATGCAGGTGCGTTTTTTTTGCTTTTTGAGGATCTTCCAAAATTATGAAGTTAAAATATGTGTGCTTCATACACCTTTAAAAATAGGTTCCATAGGTTAACGAATTTTGCACACTATCAAAAGTTGTGTTTGTAAATATTCTACCAAAAAGTCGAATATGCTGTTTGGATGAAATGTTAAAAGATAAATAGAATTGTTTTTCTTCAATATGTACTCATTTACCTTTGTTAGTATAATAAAATAAGTCTAAATAACGAAATAAATGTATATAACGTTTTTTAAAGGACTGTTTTTTTTTCACAGATATTAAACCAGACAACATATTGGTAAACGAAAGCAAGCACTTATTGAAACTCTGTGATTTCGGTTCGGCATCGAAAATCAACGAAAACGAAATTACACCGTACCTGGTGTCAAGATTCTACAGAGCCCCTGAAATTATTCTTGGCATTCCATACGATTATGGCATTGACATGTGGTCAGCGGCATGTACGATCTACGAACTGTACACTGGCAGGTACATACATAATTAATTTTACTCATCACTGAATCATTTTTGAAAATTGCTAATAGAGGTGCACTAGCACATTTTTCAGTGCTTGCACGTGATGCTACCCTTATATAAGGCGTCCTTAAAGTTGGGAGTTTCCTTTACAGAACATGCAAATCTGAAAAGTTATCCCAGTAATACATACACCACGCCTTAAGCTAAACGAGTTATTGAGTTCTGAAAAATTCTAAATGGGTCAGCCTGACCCAGCATCCTACTTGAAAAGGTACGATGTGCGTCACTATACAAATCAGGCGCCACGCGGTGTGTAGGTTAAACTAGTATATTTTCAAATCGGGTGTGAAAAAACGAAATTTCCACCTTCCTATCGCAATAGCAAAGTTATCGATCTGATGTTAGCTTACGGTGGCTGTCTTTAAGTTGCTATTGATTCTTCGCGAATGTACTTAATTGGTCCTCCTAGATGGCCTTCTCCCGAGATGGATAGGTTTGTTTACATCTTGCAAAGGCCGTCGAGGTGAACACAGTAGAAGACCTAGACATCTCCAAATGTTGCAAATGTACGAGGAAGTTAACAAACTTGTGTTTTTGAGTCAAACGGCGAAAACTTCAGTAGTATTTACGAGCAAAACATGTGACAGGGCTCTTGAACTTCCTGATCAAATGAATAGTGAATACTTTTATTTATTTTTATTTTTCGTTTTCACTGGTGCTTTCTTGCAGATACGTTTTGTTATTTCAAACTTAATTGTTTCTGAATAGGAAAGTTCCAACTTTCAGGACTCCCTGTATATAAATCACTTTTTTGCTCACAGTTTATTAACTTTTCAAAATGATATATTGATCCGTTGTTTTTAGAATAATGTTTTCGGGTAAGAGTAATAACCAAATGTTGAAATTCTTTATGGACGTAAAAGGGAAGTTTCCTAATAAAGTGATTAGGAAAGGAGCATTTAAGGACCAGCATTTTGACAGCAACTGTAACTTTTTGTATCATGAGATCGATAAGGTCACTGAGCGGGTAAGTTAACACTTATCAGTATAATGACACGTTTCATGTATGTGGTAGAAAAATTGTTATTGTATCAAAAGTTCAAAAAAATATAATACTCGTGCTATTAACAAGTGTCGCAATAGTTATTTCAGGGTATACCGTATACGTTTCGGCCGCTTATTCAAGTACAATGACGATAGTGAAAGTAAATTTTGTTTCTCTGCCCTCCAGGTGATAGTTTATTTATGTTTTCTTGTCTTCATTCCAACGCAGTGTGTTGTGACGATATATTGAACGGTCCTGTAGTATGTCGAGGTTGACCAATAGCTTTTTCAGTTAATCGTCTGTCAAATAATATAACAAAATCCTAAAGTACCTATTTATTTGTTTGTTGAAGATTCATTTAGCATTCAATGTCAATTTTGTATACTCATTTGTTTATACATTTTTTGAATCAATTTCCTGTAATCTTACATTCTTGTCTATTAAAATTAAAGCAAGTGCCAGCGACGGCCAGAGGTTCGTTATTTTATAAATCTTGCTAGTTTCTCTGTGCATGTCCCCAATTCAGGTAACAACCACCAGCGACTATGAAATTCAGATAGTAGTTACTTTAGCAGGTAACAAGTAGTAAAGGTCTATAAAATTTCACCTCAAATTCATTAACATACAAAACCAAAATTTTTTATATTTTCTTCAGAATGCCAGCCACACCTAAACTTTAATAAACAAGCGGTGCTCATTCATATATGCGTTGGCGACATACACAGGGAAACTTTCAGGCATAAAATCTAGAATATCCACTCACTGGACAAGTAAAAAAGTACATCCAAAACTAACAAAAAAAGTTCCTATAAATATTGGTCCAAAGATTCTCCCCTACCGATATACAGGGTGATGAAGTTTTTCTTACGAAATTAAAAAAAAAACTATGGAGCGGGTACTGAATTACGAATTCAGATGTTCAGTGACCACATCTTCAGCAATAAACTCTCAGAGTTTCCCAGTCCAAACTAAAGGACGTATAAACTGGACCTGGACCTGGACCCCTAATAGGAAATATCGTCTACGCCACTGGCCTTTTCGGGGAAGAGAAGTGGATTTCATAAAATACTATCCACATTTCCGTAATTTTTGTCTCTTAAGCAAGTTTTGTCAGATTACTAGTTTTGGAGATATATAGGTTTGAACATTTGAGGTAAAATCCTAAAATATTCTTATGAAAAGATTTAACCTCCCCTATTCTGAAAACACCGTGATGCTTGATATTGGAAAAACTATAAGACGTGCAAAGAAAGTTATGGTGCCTCATCACAACATTAATTGAAATTGAAAATTGGTTCTGGTTTCTGATCATTTTCAGAAAAATTTTTATAGGGGTTACAAATTGGGGGTTGTAGGGGGTGGGGGGAAGGTATATTTTATTTTGGCGAAAATATATTCATACGCTTCCAATGCCAGTATTTTTACGCACATATCAGACATATTTATCACATCATTGATTTCTCCATGCCCTTATAACTTGGAGAAATATTTATAGACGAGACACGTCATGTGTCGGGACGATACGAAGCTACGGCGACTTTCATACGCCGATCCCTGCCTTGCATCTGAGAGCATCGCCGACAGGCATGTTATAGTAGCTCCTATGACGTGTTTGCCTGGATGGTCCAGCGTTGCCCGATGGTCGATACTTAGGGCCGGGAAGAAACTAGCGATAAACTTATCAAATTGGTGGGAACAATGTAGTATGTACTTATTGTAAATGGGTCTGTTTGGCTTACTTAAATCATTTAATTATAATGTAAAACATGTCTGTAGCTTGACTCAAACGGACTAACTTGGGCCGAATGTAATCCCTGCGTGAGAAGTGCAAAGTTAACCTACTTGACGCCATTTTTTGTTTACATTAAAAGGAATTTTTAAACATTATGTCGATTATTGCGAGAACTACATGAGGAGCTATAATCAAAATTAGTTCAGTTGTCAAACTACCACAATGAGACTGACAGGATACAATTATTTCAAATGACAGGATTATTCACCTTGGTGTTTTCATTATTTCTCTTGGGAGAGACATCCAAGTTCTTAATAAGGTATTGCGTTCAGTAATGGCCATTTCTCGGATTAGCAGCGAAAAAGATTGTTTAAGCAAATTTGCACCGGGTAACCGACCGGCAACCTCTTCATTTATGTTGAAAGATCAGTTTTGCTAGTCTAGCGAGTAGATAGTCTCTGCAAAAATTCTGGCTTTACTAATTTTTCTTCTGCATTTTTTCACCAGGAGAAAATAGTAGTGATGTCGGTGGTAAAAGTAAGCCGCGACCTACAGTCAGAGTTGGTAGCAGGCCAAGCGTTACCAGCCGATCAGCTAAAAAAAGTCTCCCAGCTCAAGGACCTCTTGGAAAAGGCTTTGGCCATCGATCCAGCAAAGAGGATCAGCCTTAACAATGCACTTACACACCCTTTCATCCAGGACAAGATCTAGATAGGTAAACCATAATGCCACAACGCAAGGACTATTGAACCTATGATTATTTTTACTACATGTGTATAGCAAATGATTGGATACCTGTTTTTTTCTGTTTCTAGTAGTACAACAAATGAAATAAATTGTGTTGAAGAATGATTTTCGATTTTTTGTATTATGGATAAGTGTTTGGTCCGATTTCTAGCATGATGTGTTTTGTTACAGAGAAAGCAAAGGTGTTGAAATGGAGGTGAGCTACCCTCAGCAGGACGCACACTTTGGGCTCGTTTCCAAAGGTACACTTAGTTGGGGTGGATTCTAGGTTTTTCTTTTGGGTGGGGTGAGTTGGATACATTTTTTATATAACTCACCAAGAAATCTCCAACAATTGGTAATGATAAGCCCTAGTGACTATCATGATATGTATCTCATTCTTACTTAGACCTGACGTAAAATCCATAGGATAGAATTTATAGTTTCTCCTTAAGATCTACTTATTTGGGAGTGGAAGCATAGTTGACATTTTTTGATCGAAGATGTCAATATATGCGTTCATTTCGCAAGTGAAGAGGGACAGTCCAAGCAGAGATGAGGCTGCCGAATCAGTCAATGACTTGCTCACTTCAGAGTTCGAAAAGTACAGCTCATCTAAATCTACCACTTAGCAAAGGTGATCCGAATGTTAAGGTCAGCCTCAAATTGAGTTTTTGTGGCACCACCTCGATTTGGCGAAAACTGAGCTAAGATAAAGTTACATCGGACAACAGTGCAGCTGTAGAAACTTTTTAGAGAAATTGCGTTTTCAACTACAAATCAGTTGGTTGGTTGTCTGTTTCCACTCACACGCAATCGCAGTGATACAGGGTGCGGCAGAGAGGATGGACGGTTTTAAAAAAATCATAAAATAGTTAATTCTTACTCGAAAACAAATTTATTGATGGAATCAGGTTCACAAGGAAATAGCATTTGAGACAGTCAAGTGTGGAAAATCACATCAGGCATGTGGTGGCCGAAATCGTTGATGCAGTGCTGGAGGCGTTCTTGGAAGTTCGCGTAGACTCTGTCCAACATCGCTCTCTCAACTTGGGCAACTTCCACGCGAATTTCGCCCTTTAATTCGTCCAGAGTTCGGGGCTTGTTCGCGTATACTCTAGCCTTGAGGTGTCCCCATAAGAAAAAATCGCACATGGATAAATCTGGGGACCGAGGAGGCCAATGAACATCACCAAACCTGGAAATAAGGCGACCAGGGAAGAGAGGGCGAATAACGTCCATGGATGCTCGGGCTGTGTGGGCGGTCGCCCCATCCTGCTGGAACCACACACGTCGGATTGGAACACGTCGCCGTCGTAATTCAGGGAGAAGGAAGTTGGTGATCATGTCGACGTAGCGCTCTGAGTTCACGATAACATCACGACCATTACCGTCTTCGAAGAAGTAAGGGCCAATGATGCAAGTTTGCGATACAGCGCACCAAACCATTACTTTTGGGCTGTGCAGCGGTCTTTCGTGTAACTGTTGCGGATTTTCATTAGCCCAATAACGCCAATTCTGCTGGTTAACCATGCTGTTTAGGTGAAAGTGGGCTTCGTCACTCATAAACAAAATGAGGTTCTCATTTTGATCGATGAGTGCTTCCATCTCACGTGCGGAGTTCATTCGTTGTGCATAATCTCCGGGCTGTAACTGTTGCACAATGGCCAATTTGTAGAGGTGAAAGCGGAGATCCATATGCAAAATTCGCCTTACCGAACGATCACTAAGGCGAAGTGCAGCAGCATGTTTCCGGGCAGATCGAGTCGGACTGCGAAGAAAGACCTGTCGAACGCGTTCAACATTTTCAGGAGTTCGAACTGTTCGCGGCGCTCCTCTTGGTCTTCTGTTGATCAGTTCACCACGCCTGCGAATTGATTCAACCCAACGAAGGATGGTGTTTCGAGAGGGAACAGCTCTATTCCGATGAATGTTGAAGTGGCGACGAAACTCGCGCTGTACGACGATGACTGTCTCATTATTTCGGACGAAACAATCATAGGCGAAAACGCGGTGCTCCACCGTCCAAGGCTCCATAACTACAACTGGTAAAAGGATCTCACGAGTCAAACGCCACCCTCCCCACCTCTCTCGTAGACGGAGGCGGAGAGTACTACCCATCCCAAAAACGTCAGTCCTCTCTGCTGCACCCTGTATAATCACATGTATTTCTATACTAAGTGACATATAAATCCGAACACCCAGTTTAAATGGTTTTATTTTAATAAAGGTTGGTGATTGTATTTATCTTACTGTAAATAACAAGTGAAAAAATTTTCAGCCTTATCAGTTGGACATTCCGGTTCTTATACTGTTTTTTTTTTAATTCACTAACGCTCTAAAAATGAATATTTCAGCCGCAGTAAAGAATCAACGTTGGCGGATTTTGGTTCTTGACATCCTTTACGATCGGTTACGATGTCTAAAGTACGGAGACCTGTACGATTTCGGCAACTTGTGAGTTTGATAGGGGCCGTATAGTGGGACTTCGGGAAGCTGGACTTCCTTTTCGCGCAATTGCAGTTAGAGTGCAAAGAAGTGTAGACACTGTGGTTAGGTGTTGTCAGGCATGGCTTCGCGAAGGCCGTACGCAAAGAGCAGGGGGCACTGGACGCCGCCGTAGAACAACAGACCGTGAAGATCGCCGCCTAAGATTATTGGCCTTAAGGGACCGTTTCTCCACTACCAGGTCCATTGCAAATGAATGGTTTGCAGAACACGGAAGACCTATTGGCATGCGAAGTTTTTACCGACGAATGAGAAGTTTTGGCTTGTTTTCATACCGGCCACACTGGGTCCTCCATTTAACTCGAGAACACCGACGTAATCGCCTTGAGTGGTGCAGACAACGGTCACTCTGGGATCAGGAATGGAACAGTATTGTCTTTAGTGACGAGTCTCGATTTTGTTTAGGCATGCACGATGGTCGTGCCAGGGTTAGAAGGCGACGTGGTGAAAGGAGGAATCCACAGTTTTTTGTTGAAAGACATGTTCATCACACTGTTGGAGTTATGGTTTGGGGTGCTATAGCTTATGGTTCCAGGTCACCTTTAATCTTCATCAGAGGTAACATGAACGCGCAGCGTTATATCCACGAAGTTCTAGAACCCCATCTTTTAAACTATCTTGACACCCTGGCAGATCCAACTTTCCAACAAGATAATGCCCGACCACATGTTGCAAGAGTCACAATAGACTTCTTTCAACATAATGATGTCACATTGTTACCATGGCCACCAAGATCTCCCGACTTATCCCCAATTGAGCACGTGTGGGATATGATGGGTAGGAGATTGCTCAATTTGCAACGTCCTCCTCAGACTCTAGAAGCACTTCGAGAGAAGTTGGTGGTTGCCTGGAATGAGATACCACAGGAGGACATTGACCACCTGATCAGAAGCATGCCTAGGCACGTAGGAGAATGTGTAGCACATCAGGGTGCATCCACACATTATTAAAGGTCAAAGGGCTTTAAAGCAGTTCAATCATTTTGAAATTTTTATCATTTACTTTTTATGCTTCATTAAGTACTTATACAAAATTTTATTAAAATAAAACCATTTAAACTGGGTGTTCGGATGTATATGTCACTTAGTATATTTAGGTTGATTGAAAGTAATTTCTTCCTTCTACCATTATTGTGCTGCTGTTCACAATATGTATCATCACTGTTCCTTTGGATCGTCATCAGTTCGAACATTCCAAAGTATTCGCATCCGTAAGGCCCGATTTTACTACCTGCAGGCGGGAATCATAATTCGCGCATTTGGCACAAATTGGACCAATGAGAAACCGTCTTTGAAATAAGGGATCTAATGTATTTGGTCGATTTTTTGTAAAATGTCTATCAAACTAGGGAAACATACGATTTGTGTGAGATGGACTCCTAATTCTCATATTTAATCAAGAAATAGGTATATCACATGATTCAGACAAAAACCTATTTTTCCACCAATCAAAAAGGAGTTTTGGCCTACATCGAGTAAATATTCAACTTACTTGACAACCGTCAATACTGTCAATGTAATAAGTTTGACACAACAAATACACCGTATTTGTTTTTTATCTAACTTCATATTTCACAGAAATTTATAATAAACGAACATTATCCAGGAAGTCCCCTGTAAATAGCTAGCTTAAATTCCAAACTTGAAATCACCTAGCAACGGCGAAACCTCAAACTGGGTTGAAATTAGCGGCAGGCTATGGATGACGTTCATAATCGGTGTTTATGTCAGCCCAATCCAATCCAAAAGATAATCTAAACCGCAAAGAAATCGGATTGGCTCATCCACCCTTTGAGAATCATCGTAGGCATTTATATCCTGATTTAAGGGCCGAAGTTTGAGGATAATCCAAATTAAGTCATCGAGATAAATGTAGTAACTGTTATTAGGAAGACGTCGGGCACTCTACTGGACGGTAGGTCGTTTCCAGTAAAGAGAGCCAGAGCTCCCTGTCAAAGAACGAGAGTTTTTCGCACGCTGTTCGAGTAAATTGAATATTTGCACGACGTTTCTCAAAGAATAAACATTCTGTTATTTTATGTTCTCAAAGACTATATGAAACAAAATTTTGTACAGCAACAGAGGCTATTATTTTCAATAAAATGCTCATTTAATTGCTGTCATATCAATCTAGATATTGTATCAGATTTGTGCACATGATTCGAGTATGTCGTAAATGCTTCTTTTTAAATGGGGCATCTCATGGCCATGGCCGCTAATTTAGTGTCCGCAGGGGTATTGCTGTTGGAAAGTGACATTATGTCGTTTTTTTATGATTGTGTAGATTTCCCAACAAGAACAACTTGGAACTAGCTGTCGTTCACTTATAGCAAGCGTGGAATGAACTATGCCCATTAGCCTACTTAGCCAAAAAGTTGACATTTTATCGGTTTTTTGACAAATAGGTTTATTACGTAATAGCCCTACCGGGCTAAAATGAAAAAATAGGCTTTTGTAGCTAAAACAAGTGATGTGTCATATTTCCTGAATTAATATAGGACTTAGGGGCCCATCTTACACAAACCGTATAAATATTCTCTAGTTCGAGATACATTTTTCAAGGAATCGACCATATTCGTTAGATGCATTTCTTCAAAAACACCTCAGTTTGAATTTGTGACCCACGCGCTTAGAAAAATCGGGCGTAAAAGGCCTTGAAACAATTTGTTGAAATACATCACGCTTCGTGGCCAAACTTGATTACTATTTCTAATGAGTAGCTACAAAAGATTATTACACGAGCTTTTTCGATGTTCATCAAGAACCTAATGCGGCCCCTAGAGGTATCAATATTATTGTCCATATATTTCACGATATATTGTACACTATTATTAGTAAGCCAACCTACACGGTGGAATATTATTGCTCAATAAATAGTTATCAGCTGACCTTGAGCAGTCAACATGTGGAATAATAAAAGGACAGCGAGTTGTGTGGCCATTGCATTCATTAGTTTTAGATTCAAAAAGGAAGAAGAAACAAAAAGCGCAGATGGATGAACGAATGGTTCAGAAAAAGAAATAAGTACACTCATAAAAATTTGTTAAATGAATTAAGAATTATTGAACCAGGTGATTTTCAAAACTTTCTGCGACTAGATAGTAGTCTTTGATGAACTTTTATGAATGGTTATACTGAAATTCAAAAAAGGGATACAAGGATGCGAGACGCTATACCTTCAAGTCAGCGTTTATCAATAACACTATGTTTCCTAGCTACAGGAAACACTTTTGAAGATTTAAAATTCACAAGTGCTGTATCTCCACATTCCATAGGCATAATTGTAATGGAAACTTGCACAGCTATAATAAACTGCCTGAAGGTAATTTATTATTTAAAAAATTAAACAAAGTTTATTTTATATGTATCAATTTACATATTATTGAAAAAAATTTGAAAAGTATTCACACTCAGTAGAGGACCCTGAACTGTGTATATTACGGGCTTCCGTGTTATCAGTTAGTAGAGGTTGTGAATGTAGAGTATCATAATAGGCGGTGCTTGATTGCACATTGCATAAGAACTAAAATGAGTAGGCCTGTGCAGGGCTGGAAGTTAATGACTATACAAGAGAATAAGATATCTGATCAAAGAATGTCTTTAGGGCAAATAAGGTGGACTCTTATTAAGGAGGCCTTAAGTGAATAATGAATGTGCATTGGGTCCTCATTCTTAGAAAGTAAAGGTAAGCGAAGGGTTAGAAGAATTCGGGGAACCGCTGCAAGTAATTTCGTAAATTAGGTAGTTATCCACATATTCCCTCTATATTTATTGATATCACTTGTACGGCTACATTTGTCAAATAGAATGTGTTATTGATGCAAAATGATTTTTTATCAATGTCAAAATAAGTCTTTAGATGAAAAACTAATACAATATATTCGAGGTTTGTCTGGAAAATACGTATAAAAAATTCGGGGTGTAGAGGGGCGGCCCGGTAGTTCCCTCTCTCTATGTAATGCCCTGTAAGCTCATGCAGAGCGCTCTGCGAGTAAGTAGGATTTACGTGTGCTTGTTGAAAGTAACCCTTTTTACCTGCCGTCGGCGTAGGCATGGAGGTCTCTCTGATCGAGGAACACCGCATCAACATCAAGTTTCTTGCAAAGCTAGGCAAGAATGGTCGTGAGATGTTTGGAACAAGTTTGCGGAGACAATTCTCTGAAAGAACCAACCGCCAAGAAGTGGTTGAAAAGGTTTCGGGAAGGCCGAGAAGATGTGAAAGACGACCAACGCTCAGGACGCCCCTCCACATCGAGCTCTGAAGGAAATGTTGATCAAATTCGAGGCTGTGTTCTTAAAGACCGTCGATTGACAGAATGATGGCTGATGAACTGTCAATCCCCAAAACAATCGTCCACGAAATTCTGACAGAAAAACTTGAAATGAAAAAATTGTGCGCGAAAATCGTCCAGAACAGAAAGCAAGGAGGGTTGCTCGCTATGAGGATTGGTAGGAAGCAGACGAGAGGGGGGACTTTGTCAACCAGGTCATCACTGGAGACGAGACTTGGTTCTACGAATTCGACGTGGAGCTGACATCTCAAAGCACGGAGTAGCAGCAAGCAGGGGATAAAAAAGTCGAAAAAAGCAAGGTCCAATGTGAAAACAATGTTGTTTTCTTTGATTCTCGGGGCATTGTTCACCAGGAACTTGTCCCTCCCGGCCAGACAGTGAACGGAAATGTCTACATTAAGTTTTGCCTCGTCACAGAGCTCTTGTGACCAGATTTGGCACAAGGGGGCAGGCGGATCCTTCATCACGACAACGCACCTGCTCACACGTCTCTCGATGTGCGCGAGTTTTTGGTCCGAAGCTTATTCACCCGATTTAGCCACTTGCAACTTCCTGTTTCCAAAATGCAAAATGGTGCTCCAGGGGCGGCCCTTCGGGATGTGAAAGCCATCAAGGTAGAAATGACACGGTAAATGAAGAACCTCACATTTGAAGACTTTCAGCGATCGTATCAACAGTGAAAACGGCATAGTGCATCTTGTCTCAAGGGAGTACTTTAAAGGAGAACATATTGAAATACCTGAATAATTGTAAAATAAAGTTATTATTCCATTTTTATACGTATTTTCCAGACAAACCTCGTATTGGAAGGTTCTAACTCAAAAACACGTCTTGGAAGCAACCATTTTGTTGCATCTTGCCATTACATAATCAATGTTGCAATATAAGGTAATATTTCAGTGAATTCGTAAAAAATGTATCCAACCAAAAGTTTTCCAGCCGTCTTGCTGTAGACCAAATCCTCACGAGCTCTATTTTATTTTCAGACCGACAAGTGAAGACATGTTTGGTTTTGATGTGAAATGAAGCTATTCATTGTAACAAATGCGGTATTGAAGAAGTTTGAAAAGGATAAGTATTCGTCCGATTGCTTAAATGCTTTTGATAACATTTTTGTGTTGTTTTATAGTGACCAGTGGATTGGTATGCATCTATCTGACCAAATACGAAAATAGTATTTTGCAGAGGTAAGTATGATTTATAGATTTAATTGTATTCTATGAGAAATAAAACAAATACGATTGTTTTCAAGTTTTATTAACCTTATATTTACATAGTAAAGGAAGAACGCAAAAAACGGTAGAAAAATCACTTATTTTATATAAGAGAAACAACTGAGGTCACAATTATTATAAAAAATAAACTTCAACAAAAACACTATCATATACTTTACGCTTCTTCCTCTTCTACGTCCTTTGATTTGTCTTTCTTCTTCTTTTTCTTCTTCTTAACCTGAAATATTGAAAGTATGCTAGTTTAGTTGCTACAGATTTTTTCAACTTATGACATGACAAAGTATCCCTGTATACACGATTTTGCCTCAAAAAGTCACTGATTGATAAAAAGAAGTTAAAATATGATTTTTAATTGTAAAAATGTAAACAATATGCGTCAAAACATGAGTGAAGGTTACAATTTCTAGGAGATGATAATGATGCAAGAAAAAACTTACCTCTCCATCACCAGTAGAATCAGCTGCATCAGCAACTGTAGAATCTGCAGTATCACCAGTTTCGGTATTACCTTCATCATCGTGCTTTTTCTTTTTTTTCTTCCTTTTCTTTTCAGACGTTTGATCTGCTTGTTCTGTATTTTCTGATGATGTGCTGAATGCAGCACTCAGCTTCCTCTGGAAAGAATATCAACAATGTACGACTATTATGTATTCAAATCTCATTTGCTCCCTGTCAAAGCAATCACCAGCGCGCGACATTCAAATTCCCCAGTGGGCCAAACATGCCTGGGCAGGCAACGACAAGCGAACATAAAGGAAAATTGAGTCCTCATATTTGTTTTCACGCGGAGCAAATAAGGTTTCGAACTACACTTAGAACAAGAAGCATATTTTTACCTTCTTAGATTCCTCATCCTCTGCTGATTTCTCTTCTGCAGCTTCCGTCTTTGCCCTAAAAAATAACTATCTTTAAAAAAGACAATATGTTGCACCGCGGTTATACAAATTTAGAAAAACGCGTAATATTTCTTGAGTAAAAAGTACCTATAAACACAGATCCTAAAAAAAATAATGCTATGATGAGTTAGGATTATTCTCCTAACTACATATAATTTTCAATGACAAACTTCACTAACGTATATTTAAAGTAGTTTGGGTTGAAGTTCTTTATACGGATTTCACTTCAAATATTAAAATAATTTTTCTCCAAACATTATCTCCAGAAAAGCGGTCCATGTGAACTTAAATACCTTATTCCATAATGCATTAGATGTTTAAAAAAAGTAAAGTAGTAGTTTTTCTTCTGTAGCGATCAAATATCCCAATTTCTACGCCACTGGTATAATCTAAGGCATGAACATTTGTACAATATTTTAAGTCAATACCTTGTTACACTCAAAGATATGTTTTTCTTGATTTTGAAATTATAATTTTGGCAAGGGGTTTTTTAGGACCCATGTTTATATGAACTTTTGATGTTATTTTTGATTTACTTTATATTTTATATCCTATAAATATTGACGCCAATTTTCTGAATCATCCTGTATAAACGTTCATTACGCCCGAGTGTATACAGGTTGTCCAAAATAAGGATCCTATATGGATATGAAATTAGGAAGAAGTTTTTTTGGCGTGTTTACATGCTGTTCAGAAACTTTATTATTATTATTATTTATGGCTTACTGAGATATTGGGAAAAACTAAAATTCTGCCAAATCGTATTTATTTTTTTCTGACTTTATTTTAAGGAATATCAGAAAATCAATGAAACTTTCCCATTGACCCTTTTTAGGCGGTTCGTTTTTGAGAAACCATAAACTTTATTTTTTTTATATGGCCCAAAAAAATACCCTGTATCTAATAGCATTTTTATACGAATTCAACGATGTATCACATGTTACATGTATATTACTGATTAACGAAAACTGCGTTACTCCTTTTTTATATATTTCAAGCGTTGCAAATAAACGCTTGACTTGACGTAAATACCTTTCACCGATTATTGTTCTTATTGTGTATTGTTAATATTGCTTGAAGGCGGCCAAGTAAGACCTTTTTCTTGGAGTTGGCTCGAAATTTAGAGGAAACTCAGAATAGTGTTTTACAATCAGTAGCTGAGAACTCTAAGATATCAACGATGCAAATTGAGAAAATTTATTTTGCGTAAAGTATATATCACCCCTATAAATTCAGGATTTGTCAAGGGCTTAGGCCAAAGAATAGCGAACGGGGCCAGCATTTTTGTGAGCGGTACACATGAACGTGTGAAGATTTTAATTTCCCTTCAAAAATAATATGGGCCGACTAGAGTACGGTCACTAATAATGGTATCTTTAATCGCCACAACACTGATTACTGAGGAACCAAAAGATTAAGTCCATGTATTTACCACAGCTCATCAACTGCAGAACAGTACCTTCAATTGTTGCAACATGATCTAGAAGCCTGCCCGGATAATTCACCTTTGGCACAGGTTAATAACTGTTGGTTTCATCAAGACGATGCTCCTGCACATAGCTCTAGGCAAGTTCGAAAGTATATTTGTCAGCGATTTCCCGGAAAGTGGAGTGGAACCTCCAGTGAAGTGTCCTGGCGCGTTCCCCGGATTTAACTCATATGGACTTTTTTGTTTGCGATTTTATTAGAAACTAAGTTCATCAGCATAAATTTGAAATTGAGCAGCAGTTACGAGAATGTGTAATGGAAGCATTTAGTATGATTACATCAGAAATGTTACGTGATGTTTTTAATACTGTCAGAAGATATTTATTTTTAGAAAATAATGGCACTAGTTTAAGCATCATTTTATAAAGTTTTACCACATCATATCATTATGTAATATACAGGGTGATTCACAAGTCGTGACCAAAAATGAAACCATACACAGGATCGCACTTCTATGTAACATTTTTTCCTCGAGGGTTTCATTAACCTTCATAAACCCGAGCGGGGTGCAGTTGTACCCCAGACATCAATTTTTAGGGGAATTTTCTAAAATACATACATATTTATTTTTACTCAATTTTCTTCGAGGAATGTTTCTGAAATATATTTCTAATTTAGCATAGAAAAGTTTAAAGAAATTGCTATTTATTGTAACAAGTTGAAGTGAGTTTTGTACCTTAGGGTTCAGCTGCACCCCGCTCTGTATGTAACATTTTACACTATAACAAAGCAAAGGGTACATACAGTACAAACAAGAGATAAATTGGCTAAAGAAATCACGATTCAAAGAAAGGGTAATCGGTGGCCGATGGCAATATTTGTCCATCTACTGGACTTTGGTGGCATCAACGCCTATAAGCTATGGGCGTTGAAAAATCCAAATAGGGAAAAAATCGTTTGGATACAAGAAGAATGTTTTCGTTGAAGTTGGGCCAAGAATTAATAAGGAAAACTATAATTCGTAGGTACCATAATGACGAGATTTTACATTACAAAACAATCCATGTCAACCATTTTTTCAAAATTAAATGTAAGTAATGAACAACCTGTTCACGTTATTTGCAGACAGCAGTGATGTTTCTTATGCGACAGATGTAAAGACAGGAAATCCCGAAAGTTTTGTATTCGGTGCAATCAACACGTATGTGCAGAACAATAAAAAAATGTAACTGTAAAAAGTGTAATAATTAAATTATTATTTAAAATGTCACAGATTCTTATATATTTTGACATTTGCACCCCACTCGGTACTTAATGTAAGTTTTTGACCACCGGCTTATGAAGGTTAAAAAGATACGGGGCGTTGAAGTTTAAAAATAAACAATTCTTTTGAGATCTTCAAAACTGGAATGAACTAAAATTTGGTATGTGGATTTACCCAGTATTATCCACATTCGTTTTTACTTAAAATTAACGTGCGCTAGTGGCGGAGAGTAGCATTATTTATCCAAATTTTTTTTTACATCTTTACCATCGGCAAAATGCAATGTCTGCGACCCGGCGGCGAAGTGCAACGGCGAAATTTTTGAGAGTGGTTACTGCAAATGCCTAATCAAAAAGCAGATTGATGATTGGTTTTGTGGTAAGATGAATCGCTTTTTACCAGAAGTGGAACCTTTAATTCTCATAATGAACATATTTGGTCGTTAGAAAATCCCCGTTCTGAAAGAATCCACTCGTTTCAACACAGATTTTCTAGAATTGTCTAGTGCGGCATTTTCAATGGCCAACTGTTTATGCACGTATTGCCACAACTTTTAAATGCAAACTCATACTTAGCTTTTTAGAGAATTACATAGAAAATGTTGTTAGATGAAGTTCCGTTATCAACGAGAGTACAAATGTGGTATCGGCACGACGGTGTCCCACCGCATGTTCGTCGTGACATAACCGCATTGTTAAATAATCATTTTGACAACGATGGATTGGCAGAAACGGACCCATACATTGGCCTGCGAGGTCCCTGATTTGAACCCCCTGGATTTCTTTTTGTGGGTCGCTTTTAAACAACTAGTGTATGCTTAACAAATTAATACCGTTGATCAGTTACAAGAAAGAATAGATAATGCGTTTCATCAAATCCAAGCAACAACAAATTTTGCGGAAATACGTTTTTCTTTACTAAAAATATACCGCACTTGTATCTGTCAGAATTGGCTTTTGAACATTTATTGAAATAAAGCTTTCATTATCTAATTTGTTTTTTTATTTTTACGAAAACAGTGCCGTCTAGTAAAAAAAACACGAGTAATTATTTGTAGCAAATTAAAGGTAAAATTCGAAAAATTGCGCGTTTCGAAAAAAAAGGCGTACTATTTTTATTTGGAAAAATAATGCCACTAATCCCCTGTATCTCCGCCACTGATGCACGTTCATTTTAAGTAAAGACTTTTGAATGTGAACAATACTTAGGTAAATCAACATAAGAAATTTTAGTTCATTCCAGTTGGCGGTTTTGAAGATACTAAAAAAAAAATATTTTCATTATTTATTTTTAAACTTCATATTTTTAATGAAGCCTTCGAGGAAAAAAATGTTATATAATAAGCATCTCTCAGTAATCACATAATCCTGCATCATTTTTTTCCAACGCATACTTAAATAAAATAAAACATTTTTTTTGTAACTAAGGAAAATGTAGCATTTGATACATCTCTGAATTCGTAGAAAAAGATGCCATCAGATACTAGCTGTACTTTTTTTCGGACTATAAAAAAAAGGTTAATGATGGTTTCACAAAAACGAAATTTAAAAACACCATCATGCAGTGCCTAAAACGTGACAATGAAAACATTCTATTAGTTTTTTTTAGTTATCTTGGACATCCTGTATACACTACAAAATTGTCCTACGGTCGGCTATACAATAAGTAAAAAATTTGTAGCGAGAAAATAAAAGTATAAAGATAGGGTTACAGTCATGAAAAACTGACTTACGCAGAATAATCAACGTAACTATTCAACCATTCTTTGGGCGTTGATTCGTTTGGTTTTCCGTGTTTGTCGAGCTGACCTTTGGCAATCAGAATTTTTTTCTGACTTGCCCTAGGGCCTAACCCCCATTTTCTCGGATAGGTATCTCTTTCCATTATTACCTGACAAAAAAAAAACATTTGCTAAGTCAAAAATACATTTGCTAAGTGAAAAACACATTTGCTAAGTAAAAAGTTATATGAAGGTTAAACATGTGTGAAAATTTTCACAAATGTGTATAGCTGCTAAACATACTGCGCCTCCCATGTGGTCAAAACTGTTGATTTCCAGTTTAATATCATGGAAGATTGGCGTCTTTGCTTCGATGAGATAATAAACAGCAAATAAACAGTACTTTTCTTGGAAATTTAACACACTCTTCAATTCCAATGGCGTATCTTTGCGCTACGTCTATGGACGATTTAACACCCGTACAAGTTCAAATGCTGCGGCAAGCATGTCAAATGTTTCCTTTGTACCGGCTGCCAAGGTTTTTTCTGACGCAATTGTGCGGCACGAACTAGAAAAATTACGGTAATAGATGGTTTCAGAATATACTGCTCAAAATCATGTGAACAGGCATCCGAGGAAAAAAATATGGATATGGAAAAGCTGTTTGAGAAAAACTATCAACTTGAACAAGCTTTGAGAAGCAAACAAGTTGAGATTGAACATCAAAAAGAAATGGAAAATCAACAGATGCCTCACCTCCTGCTTAATAGGATGTTCTGGAGAGAGAAACGTTCGCTGAAAAACTGAGAAAGCGGATTCACGACTTTGAAAATGCAATACTTGACTCCGAAGCATTAAGTATGGAAGAACTAAAAACCCTAAAGGAAACTGTGTCAATACTCAATAAGTATATTAGCTCTCTGAGTGACCCAAATGATCAGCTCAAAGAGAAAATTACCAGCTAGCAGTTAATAATAAAATTCAAGAATTAACGGAAATTAGTAGGAATATGATCAGTAGAATCAACATCCTAGACGAAGGAAACAATGCTCTTTAACAGGAACTAAAAAGATATAGAATGTCTATCGGGAGAGAATCTAAATGCCTCCAAAATAGAGAAAGATACAAGTAACGTGAGACAGCAAAGCTCAACTAATAACATTGTTTCAACAACAAATATTGATGTCGAAGTAACAGGAAGATGGCGCGACCACAGTATCAAAAAGAAGAAAGTGTGAAAGTACAATCCTGACTCCAGTTTTCAAGGTATTGTAAAACCACATGTCGAAATCGGTGAGCTAATTAGAAATGTCTTCAACAACTTGGCATCTACTGACCAACATGATTATTTGATTATCCTGTTTAAGACCAAAAACATTAGTATTCATAAGACGATGCATAGACTCTTGCGAGATGTACTTCCACTTGGAAGGCTTAATAATATTAATACTTATTAATACTTTGTGATAATGTTTTTGGTGATGGGGCCATTCCCCGTTATATTAGTGAACAAATCTTTAGTTATAAATTGATCAACCCCAACAAATCAATCAATTTTGAGACTATTACCAATCGCCGACTAATGTATAGACTTATTGAGAATTTTATTTTAGGGGTTAAACAGTGTTATCACAAGAACAGTTATCAACACAAGTAATGTACCCATGGCTTCACCTCCTGCTACGCAGAACAGCTCCAAGCTTAAAAAAGAAAATTAACTAAATTGTTTAGCCCTTACAGAGGCTCGTTTATGGACTTGCGTGTCTGTATGTGAAAGTAAGGCCGGTCAGCCATCCCAGTGCACCAACTCAACAAATATTGCAACTCACAATTAGCGACACAACTTCATCATAGCAATATACGCACCTCAACGCACCTGGATGTTCAGATGCCTATGCTATTATATCACAAGTTAACGTTCAGGATATGATCAGCAATCTAATTGAGGTGTTCCTGCAGTTAAACTCCATTAGCATGTTTTGCGTATCTGAGCATTGGCTATGCAGCGACTCTAGTAATATAAATTTTCCAGGTTATAAAATAATATCTGTTTTCCCCAGAAATTCGAGCATTCGTTGTGGCTCACTAATAATGATAAAGAACAGTGTCAAAGTTCGGAAATCTGGAATCAACATTAAGGTTATTACCAAAAGACCGGGCTCAGGGGATCCGTACTGAAGCAGCCAGAATTCTGCAGAAAGCTAAGCCATCTAAAAGCAACCTAAAGTCGAAAGAATTAAGAGCAATAAGAGACCTGAACAGAGTCGAGAATGTTCTGTCGGCGGACAAAGGAAATGCCACCGTAGTCATGGACACGACGATTATAAATCCAAAATCAATGACCTCTTAGATCCGAGCACCTACAAACAGCTAACCAGAGACTGAACAACGGATTGCTAGAACAACGAAATCAGGTAGGCTCACCAACATATCACCTAGTCAAGCACCTCACAACCCTGCTTCAACCACAAAATGGGCAATCCAATACATACATCAAGAACTCTGCGCATTTCATATAAAAAATAAAGGAAATTCATATCGAAGAAAACGATATACTATTCAGCTTTGACGTAGTATTGCTCTTCACGGAAGTACCAATTGATGCTGCAATGGAACAGATCAGCCGCATTTTTGCAGAGGACATTGCCAATTTATACAGACTGTGCCTGACGACTACATACTTCTCGTGGGACACAATATATGAACAAACTGAAGGTGTGGCAATGGGCGGCCCTTTGAGTCCAGTTGTAGCGAATTTCTTCATGGGGTATCTTGAACAACGTGCTTTCAGCAGTGCACTAAACAACCCCAAAATTTAGTTTCGATATGTCGATGACACTTTTGTAATATGCAGCCACGGACCCGAGAAACTTGATGAATTCCTCACTCGTATCAATAACATGCATAAATCTGTGAACCCGAAGAACTGGATTTAGATCTTCTAAACAACAGCTTAATGGCCAATGGATTCTCAGAGCTGGAAATTAGAAAGGGAGACCTGAATATTGATTATTTAAAGAAAGGCAATTTGTACTCTAAGATACTGTTAGATGTCTTTTAACCTTAATTCTCATATTCGTGAGCCCTCCAGAGTGTATACTAACCGATCTGGTTATACAAGCAGATCCTGTATTGACTACCTAGTCACTAATCTGTCAAAATTCTTGTGATAGTATAATAATTTATCCTAACATTGCGGACCGTTTTGCGCATATTTTTAGAATATTTTCGCCAGTAGACAAGGTAGAAGATCCGCCTCAAACTCGTTTAAATAGCCATGTTAGAGAAGAAAATTTGAATGAGCTTCTATTCCACCGTAAAACCATTATACTCACTACCTGGCAATGCTGCATATAAATATTTTCTAGATTCCTTAACATGGTGCTTTGAAATATCTTGCCCTCTATATAAGCAAAAAACAATAGGTCGTAATAAAAGCTGGTTAACCGTGCATATAATCATAGAGGGTCAGGAGCTTAAAAATCTTTTCCTATATGCTAAGAATAATTACTTCAAAGAATATTACAACGAAAGAAAAATGCATATAAACTCAAATTAGGCAAAGATTTCTTACGATAAAAACAAAATGTGCAGTTCAAACAATAAAAGTAAGGAAGCGTGGAATATAATAAAGTTCAAACTTGGTGGAAATGAATACAAAAACGGGCTGATCAAATCTGAAGTCATCAGCTGATGTATGTAAGCTCTACTGAATATTTCTCGAACACTGCAAACAACGCAATTAGTCAGAACATTGGTCAAAATATGTCCTTGCATTTTACTACATCCAAGGAAATCAACATTACGCATCAATTCAACAGTGAACCCATCTCACACCGCGAAGTACTAGTAGTCATGGCAGCATTAAAAAATAACGTCTTCAGGGCTTGACGGGTTGAGTTTAAAAACGCTCGACTAAGTACTCGATGTGATCATGGTACACATCATTTTTGTCACTTTTGCTTTTCACCTACCTCCCCGGAAGCTGTGCATAAGAAAGGTAGTAAAGCAGATATGGACACCCATCGTCAAATATCCTTACTGAACAGCATCTCAAAATTATTTGAAAAAATAATATATATTTGAATGGTGTACTATATTGCTCGCCAAAGAACAACATGGATTCAGAGTTAACAAGATCATTGCTTCCTCTAATATGCTGAACTTTATATTTACTCAATTAGACACTAATAAACAATTGCTAGCTTTTGATACCTTACAAGCAGAAATATGACTGAGCCATGCAATGGCCAGCTTTCGGATACTTTTGATGTTCATCTTGGAGTGCGCCAAGTGTATATTTTAGGACCTTTACTTTTTATATGCTACATAAACGATCTCACTGAATACATTTAGAACGAACCTTTATCGATTTTTGCAGATGACAGCAATTACTATAGCATCAGTTACAGACGATCATTTATTGGAAAAAACCACCAAAGTCATAGATGAGATGAACGCTTGGTGTTTCCGAAACCGATTAATTTTAAATAACTCCAAGACAATGTCAATACAATACCATCTGCGTAACTCTCAATATCTAGATCCAGATTTTACAACAAATATTAACCTAGCTGATGAGGTGAAATAGGTAGGATACATTTTGGACTATTCTCTAAACAAGAACACACAGATCGACAGTGTCTGTAAGAAGTTAAACGCCGCCTTTTATACCCCAATCAGCTAAAGAACTGCCTTGATAGAGGTAGTCTGAAAACTGTGTATTATGCCCTGGCCGCCACATATATTCTTAATATTTTGAGCTGTGGCAAAAGCAGTGCATGTATCCGTGTGTTCCTCTCTCAGAAGCGAATTATCCGACTAAAGTTTAATCTTACTACTGTAGAGTCTTGAGAACCGACATTTATCAGAGAGCGAGTATTGACTGCATTATTTATTTACTCTTAGGTTAGGTTGCACTGGGAGGATATCTATACTACGCACCATAATCTAAACACAAGGCTTCGCAACTTATTACAAACAAACATGCACAGAACAGCCAAATTCGAAGTCAACCATCTTCAACTGTATTTCATTTTACAACAAATTGCCTAATAGCATAAAATCAGTCTCTGCGAATTGTTTATACAAGAAAAAACTTACTGAACTGAATCTTTTTACTTTAGACGTGCCAGTGTACATATTTGTATCTAACTGGTTAAGATAAACAAACAAGTTTTTTTGAGACATAAAAAGCCTTTGAATAATACATACCCTTTTGATTTTTGCAACTACACCATGATCACAACTGGCCATAGTAGCTGTGGTCATTTGAGCTATAGCCAATGCTACCGCTTCTCCCTTCGTTGTTACTATAACTATTTCTTCATTCAATTCTATGTTGTCCTCGTATCTGAGAACACCAGGTAGAAGGATTTTAGCGCCATAACATACTGCATTTACCTAAAAAAAAATTGAGCAATTTTAGTTTGATATTTCAACTATTGCCATTACATATTACACCAGTGCCCTATTCAGTAAAAAGTATGGTGTAATACAAGTAAATTTATTTGTAACTTGTGTTATAGGAGATGTTGAGTGATAGACTAGTACTACTCCATATTTTACAAGTTACAAGACCATATTCGTTCCATAAGTGTATAAGTGGTAGTATTTTTCTTGTTATTTCACATACATTTGCTACAAGTGATTCTAATTTGCTAGAAAAGAATAGGGCAAGCTTCTTGGTACAAAAAAGGGTCATGATAGTAACCACACTTACAGAGGAGATCAAAAGATATTCAAGCTGATGATTTTTTTTTTGTAGTATCAATTTTAGTATAGAACTCGAATTCAATGACTGGTAATTTAGAGAACTTAAGATACCAGTAGCAAAGACCATCTCATTAAATATGAACAACTCTTCACAAATTCAGCAGACACTAAGTGTTTAACTGACTCAATCAAAGCACCTTAATTTATTTCATTTTTTTTTTAATAAAATACAAGAGATTCATTTGAAAATAGTTAAATTATACCAAAAGGTTTGTGATATTTATTATTCAGATTATCGAATTTAGACTACTTAAAGGGATATCTTCATCAATTAATATTTCCTTACCGAGCTGTCTTTCATAATGATCCTTTTATGGCCAACAAGCAGGCCTTCAAGGGGTTTGATAACCCTCCTGAGGTAGCTTTCATCCTTGTGGTTTTCGTAGAGCCACTGGGCGTCCAAAACGTCGTGTAACGTTGAAGGATCATCCATTTCATTCTGAATACCAGAACGCACCCGCCGTAATTCTAACATTTGCCCACCAACGCCTAGAACCAGTCCCAAGTGGACACACATTGTTCGGATGTAACTGCCTGCCTCGCATTTTACCCAAAATACACCTGCATAACAAAAACAATATGAATGTTGACATTTCACATCTTATGATTGCTTATTTGCATATTTTGAAAGTACTACCAGACGAGCCCACATGACACTTCAACACCAATAGTTTCTGTAACACCTGAAACTTATCCTTTGGATTTAATGTTAATGGAACTTGGAAAGGCCTCCATAGTGGCCGAAATGGTGTTCTACCAATAATTTCATCTATTGTCTATCAGAATATCGAGATTGATCAGTGAGACAACTGCAGAATTGCTGAAGCTTCATTTAGAAAATTTGGTGTAAGGCTCAATCTCGCAAGATTCTTGATAACATAGCTGATTAATTTAAAGGTACTTTTCTCGAAAGCATAAATATCTTTATTTTAATTCAAATGTTCGCCATCACTGCGGTTTCAAGCAGTACTTGATGAATTACCGAGTGATTCCTAATCCCTCAAACCTAACCTCTTATCTATGTCCTGAAGGAGAAAGTATAAAATAACAAGACCTAGGCGGCCAACTAATGGGGCCGCAAAGAAGAAATTACAGTAGCGGACCTAAGATCTTTGGGACCCGAGGCGAAAACTTAGTAGCAGACCCCCTGAAAGCCATAAGGCTAAAGGGACCCCGTGACAAGACGAAATTCGTTGATTATGAAAATTAGATTGTGGGGTGTCTGTGCATTGCGATTCTCTACTATGGGGGTTCCTGGAACCGCGTTGACGAGCCACAAGCCTTCACGGGCTGTGCTGCAAGTAGCGCTATACCATTGTTGAAACAATGTTTTACAGATCATGTAGCAAATAGTGTCATGGTTACAGAGACGGAAAACAAACATGTCCACATTTCAACTTGCGTTTATTTATGCATACATATAATATTCAAAAACGAAATACCAAGAATGCTTCTTTAGCTTTATAGTAGACATTCCCAAGAAATTGACTGTTTTTATATATTCTTTATTTTTAAAAGCATCTTAATGAATTGCCCATTATAATTATTTTCAAAGCTTACCCATATTTCTACTTTCATCATAGTCAAACAATTTGCTATCATACACTGTTCTCACTCTCAGTTGTCTTTTGACAGCTGATATAAGTGGAGGCCTCTGGAATAAAGCCCCTTTTAACTTTTCCAGGCCCTGGACAACTTTTTTTACAGAGTCGACCGCTGAATGTAACTTAAATACTGTAACATACTCTTTTCCTGCAGCTTGCTGGGACTTCGCTAATCTACAAAAAACAAAAAGATACTGTTTTTGGGGATCTGTTGAGAAAATACTACAAGCAGTATTTGCATAATGCCCATAATTTCCATGTTTGAAAATAATTGAGTTTGTCAAAATGACATAAAGTTCTTAGTGATATGGTGTAAAGGGTAGTGAGTAATTTTCAATGGTTTTTGAATCATTTTTTACCTGCAGCCAACAATCATTTACATTTCCTTTATTAAGCTAGTCAAGAAACTGAGATAAAATGCATAAAATAAGTACTAAGTAATATTTCTGATTTTTGTAACCGTAAAGATCGATACAGAATAAGGTTTTGCTGGTATATAGGTGCAATAACACCCAGTAAAGATAAAACACACATAGGTAACTGAATTTTCCTAAATTTGTGATTGCTTTTATGAGTTGTTAAATATATGTCAATGTTACTTATGGGCTAAGTTGTACAGGGGTGCGTTTGTAAATCACTTGGCCATGTAATACTAGACATAGTAATGGAATGTATATTGACAGATGAAATTTTGTAATGACAGTTGATGACAGCCGACTAATTTCTAACTACATTTTCTGACAACATTGTATTTATTATGAAAGACCCGATGGATATGAGGTACCCCTTTTTAAATACAGCAAGAAATATTTTAAGGTTGAAAAAAACTCGCACAAAGCTGAAAATTGGTACATACCTTGAATGAATGAATTATGAAATTAGAAGCATATCGGCCACCGTGAGGAGCCGGCGCATAGGCCACTTAGACGCACCCTTATGCACCTCTACATTCCCTAAACCTCGAGCCTCGCCTTCTAGCAAAGTTGAGCATGGCCTTAAGTCCCAGCTCCTTAACGTTCTGGGGTCCAAAGTGATGGACCCTAGGACAGTCTGCCTGTAGTAGCTCAGAGCCTCATAGCAACATAGAAGGTGCCAAGGTCTCTTCCTCTACCCCGCAGCACTCACACAACGGATAAAAATCCATTCCATGAATAATCAAAGATTTCGATACAAAGCAATTGAACGCGAAATGCTTGAAAACGCAAAAAAGATAATATTATTGATCCGTACCATTCAAACACACCCTGGTCTGGTTAAGGTGCGTTCAAAATGAACGAAAGGAAAACCGTATTTTTATAAATAATTTGAACTCACTAGAAAATTGCTTCATGCCTTTAATATGGCTTTCTTTATGCCATCGTAACTAATATATCAAAAGTCTCCATCGATCCTTGGAGTGCAAAATGTTCTATTGGAGGTTACTTGTCAAAATTACCTTTCTTTATATCTCTGAAACGGTATGGCGAACCACAAAAATAACCTACACCAAAATTGTAGTCGAGCATGCAATTCTATAAAACTTGTCCAATTGCTTTCTTTGTTATTTGCTATGAATGCGCTCTTTAATCTATAGATCAAATGTCATGAATATTGTACCATATTTTTGAGCTGGTCATGATAAAAATGAGTTATATGAAGTCTGTAAAACAGGTACTGTTTCCATATAACTTGTCATTTATGAGACATTTTTTTAACGTATCACTGTCACGAAGAAAATCTATATTTTTCTATTAACTACAAATACAAAGAAGATAAAATATTAAGACCACAATCCAGCAAAATGTCCTCCTTCAGCACCCAGCGTCCGCTTGGACATATCTTGTAAACAGACGTGTATTTTAATCATCGGCTGAATAGCAACACTAGTGATTGTCACTTCAATCTGCAATTGTGTTTTTCCAGGTTATTTTTTCTACAAAAGTTGTTCTGATTTTTCCTCTCTAACCATTACGCATTGCATATTGAGGTTTTTAGAGTCGATAAAGTATTCTGCATAACATCTATAAATTTCCACACCATGGCTCATTTTTTAGTTAGTTGTTTCCTCGGTAGGCATACTCCACGATCCAAATATCTTTCTTCAAACTTATTTAAATATATGTATATTGACAAAGAGATTTGGAATACCTCAGTTTTCTTTCTCGTTAGTCTCACATTTAGCTATATGTGGCGTAGCATTAGAGCATGAAACATTGGCAATTCCTGCATACTGATGAACTGGGTGATCCCTCTTTCTTACTGCTGCTGTTGTTATTACATCTCTTCTTGCAATTGTTTTACGGAGACATTGGCATATTGTTCAATCACATTGTATTACTGATATGTACATATGTTAGCTTAAACGAGTACCTCTGCTTTCATATCTCAGTTCATATCAAATGATAATAGGCCGCTTTACGCGTATGTTCCAATCTGTCGGTTTTGTCACATTTCTTGTACATCGTGCCAAGCACGTACGCTCCAAGCCGCACGCCAATCTAAGCGCGCTAGACGACGCTCCAAAACGACAGATTTGAACGTACGTGTAAAGCGGCCTAACGTATCCTAAAGATCAAGGAACGCATAAACAACGACTCACAAAAATGCAATTGGACAAGTTTTATAGAGATTTGTGTGGTTATGAATGAACGAATAACTAAATTAGATGCATACTGGCCACCATGAAGAGCCGGTGCCACCTAAACAGGCACTTGATTACCTAAGCCTCAAGCTCCGCCCTTATAGCAAAGTTGAGTACAGCCCTGAGCCTCAGCTCCTTCACATTCTGGGAATTTTAAAGTGTTGCACCCCAGAATAGTCTGCCTGTAGTAGCTTAGAGCCTTACAGCGACACAAAACATGCGCCGAGGATTCTTCCTCTACCTCGCAGCCCTCACACATAGGATCCTCAGACACCCCCATCATATGCAGGTGGCGCCTCATCGTGTTATGGCCGCACAACAGTCCCACCAACAACCTGAGGTTGGTTTTATCCAGAAATAAGCAAAAGCGTCCACTCTTAACACTGGGCCTTGCGATGAGGTCCCGTGCCTGGCGGAGATGTCTAGAGATGCTTCAGAGAGTGTTGTCTAGCAATCCACCTCCTCATTTGATTACTGATTCTTTGCGCGGGCACCCTTAGGGCTCGCTCCAGACCAACAAGCTTACTCGCTGATCACGCTTTCGCAAGAGCATCCGCCATATCATTGCCCTTTATCCCAGCGTGCCCCGGCATCCACACTAACTATATTGGATGCCTCGATGTTAGACTATCCAGAGCCTCTCTGCATTGCAATACTGGGCTTGCGGTAATCTTGCGGGCACCTAGAGCCTGGCTGTCAGGGAAGATTGTTATTCTCCTCCTCCAAAATGCGGGATACGCAGGCCAGAATCGCATAGATTTCCACCTGGAAAAATTTTGCGCTCCAAAGATCGATGCGGAATTTTGATATATCAATTCTAATAACATATTAAAGGCATGAAACAATTTTCAAATGGGGATGATTTTATTCCGAAAATTCGATTTCCCTTTAGTTCATTTTGAGCGCATCTTAAGCTGACCAGGATGTAATTGGATGGTATGGATTAATACTGTTACCTTCTTTTTTGAGTTTTCACGCATTTCATATTCAATTGTTTTGTATCCAAACCTTTGGCTGCTCATGGGAATGCATTTTTAGAAAAATTACTGATACTTTTTTCAACACAGTGACACACTTGAGAGTCCTTAGATCACGACATCTCATAAATGGTGACTCAATGAATAAGAGTAGTTGAACAACTTTTATAGATAATTGTATTCTCTACAATTTTTGTATGAGGTATTTTTGTGGTATATCCTTCCCTTTTAAAGGGATATGACAAAACCTGATATTTTGGACATTTCAACCCATATAAAACAAGGTTCTGCTCCAAGGATATATATATATATATATATATATATATATATATGTATATACAGGGTGACTTCGAAGTTGAGTCATTTATTTTAACAGTGAGTAGATCTGATCAAAAGAAATGTTTTTTTCCTTTACCATTTTTCTGGTAAAATTAAAGTAACAAAGTTATATCCCTTTGGAAGTTTGAGTACCGCCCTGTCTCAATAATAATATTATGTGCTCGTGTTTGGCAACAACGGATATAATCCGCCTTATCGGTTCATCGCATCGGAAACAAAAAAGCGAAAGAATTTGGAACGATGTTTTTACAATTATTTTATTCAGTTGTATACAGTTAGTGTCAGTCGGTAACGCGTAAGTGAATAGTGGTGTCTGTTGCGTGGCTCAAACGAAATCAAAAATGGCACATGTTTACGAAAATGCTGAACTTGTGGACATGATTCTTATTTACGCGGCATCACGGATTTATGCGGATCGGTTTCCCAATCGAGTGCAACCAACCCCTTGTGCCTTTGTTAATGTAGTACAAAGGGCTCGTGAATCAGGTGACTTAAGACCTCACAGGGGAGGGCATGCCGGTGCTACAAGACCGCACGATCAAATACAGGTCCGCACTAAAATACTTGTCGGGAGGATACTTTATAAAACAAGGTAACATTTTTTTTTCATTTTTACACACATATTTTGGTGTATCTTCCTTCTACAATCATTATCTGAAAATTAATGACTCAACTTCAAAGTCACCCTGTATATATATGTATATATAGGAGTTTTGATATATTATTCATAATGGTGTATTCAAGGTCTATACCAATCTTTGCAAACCTAACTTCTATTTTGACTGGATTAATTTTTAGCGAAAAATATATATTCTGGCAATTTTGTGCAGTTTTTGAAAACCAAATAAAATAGACAAACAATGAACCATGAGAATGACAAGTGACATAACTCTTATCTCCAAGGGAAGAAAAGTACAGTTTTGACATTCCCAAAGGATTATCTTTGTTCTATTTATGAATGCATGTAACAGATATGTCAACCAATTGCAAACATTGAAATTGTTATAGAGCAGTACAATGTACATTCTCTAACAATTTATTGAACACTGGCTCGAGTGGCAGTATTCTGGCATCTGCAATTAGTTAGCAACATGAATAACTAGAAGTGATTAGGCAAAACTACTGTATTTTTGAATGTATGAATCATAATCATAATAGATACCAAAATTATCCTTTTGCCATACACTCTGTAACGATTTATGAATGCAGGTCTAAGGCCTGTATCGTCAGTCGTCCCTACAATTGTAGGGCGCGTTTATGGCCTCCTTGTCACAACATCTATTTGCATCAAGTTGTGCTTGCTTCTGAGTTGTATCATGTTTTATCAGCCTGAAATTGCCTACAATTTGGAAAGAAAACATATCTTCACAATAGGAGATCGCTGACAAGTGTAATCTAGAAATTTTTTAAGGAGAGAAAGGAGTATGACAATCAAGGAGGCCATAAACGCGCCCTACAATTGTAGGGACGACTGACGATACAGGCCTAAGTATCAGAATTCTCACATGTTTAATTAGTTCCCAATACCAAAAACTAGAAGTGCTCTGAGTGGACAAAACTAGTGCATTCTTGAATGTATGAATCATGAACATGAGAGATGCTAAAATTATCGTTTTGTCCTTTACATTTTATCAAAAATTGTCTGTTCAGGATTTCTTTAAGCACCCTATCTAATCTCTGTACCTTTTTTTTTAACATTGTATCTCATCAGAATGGCAATAGCTGAGCTAAATACAGACCTTAGACTGCAATAATGGCTTAGCCTTACCTTGTGGTTCTCTCAATGCATACAATTAAACAACCAGTGGTTTTAGGGTCCAAGGTTCCAGAATGTCCTGTTTTCTCAACTTTGAGGATCCGTTTCACCCAAGCCACAACTTCATGGCTACTAGGATTGCTAGGTTTATCTAAATTGATGTAGCCAGACTTCACATAATCTGTGAGTTCTCTTTTTAAGGGTGACGAGCCACATGGTATTGGAACGTAGTGGTTTGTTCTTACATTTAAACGATCGAAATACTAAAAAAACACATGTTTAACAAGGTCCCTATAAAAACCAAAATTTCTGCGTGTTACCTTCAGCAAAAGGGGCCATTGAGACGTATCTAATTTCACCAATTTCTCCGATGGTTGTACAGCAAAATTTGATTGCTGCTGGATTTCGGAGATCTTTTCTGGCTTCATCTTTTTCTTCTTTTTCTCTTTATGCAATTCCTCTGTAACACAGGTAATGAAAAGTGAATGGTAAATATGTTATCCAGTACTGATTTAAAAAAATATTTACCGTTGTTTTCCATTTTCAGAAATCAAAACACGTGTCTTTGCTTTCCAAACGTTTACATTACAATTTTGGAGGTTAGTTATGCCCGCTACATACGTAACGATATATCGTAGCGATTCATCTGTGCAAACCGATTTGCGCAGATTTATCGATCGTGTGTATGAAAAATCGTTGCAGATTTATCGTTCATGGCGGCAGTTACAATTTCTATAAGATAAATCGTTGTCGATCTCGTTTGCACAGTTTTATCGTCGCGTGTGGATGACGGTCGTTCAGTTCGTCACTTCGTGGCGAGGTTTGCTTGCGTGCGCACGCGTGGTTCGCACTCCTGATTACTTACCTTACAAGTTGCAACATGTCGGAAGAAGAAAGAGGTGGACACCGCGAACAACTTGAAGAGTTTATAGCAAGCTACAGACGCGAAACTTGAATTTGGCAGACAAAATCTAAGGAGTACCATGATCGCAACAAAAAAAATGCCGCCTACCACAGGCTGGTCGAAAAATACAAAAACATTGATCCAAATGCCAACAGGTATGTACATAGTGGTTAAGAAGATTAATAATCTGAACTGCATATAAAAAAGATATTAATAAAATAAAAAAATCGCATAAATCCGGAGCAGGAACTGACGAGATTTATACTCCTCACTTATGGTACTTCGAGTTTTTTATACGATCAAGAAGTACCGAGACTATCGATATCGAACATGGATGAGGACGAAAATGATGTAGGCTTTATTTCTCAGAAATTATTTATTGTTACATATTCCAATAGGTATTGTGTGATTATTACATGCTAAATACATTTATGCATTTTTGATATTAAGGTAGTACGTTTTCCCTAGCAACTCTATTTATCCAAATACGCAATCAAGAAATAATCAAAGCTTAGCGCGTCATTATTGGGTTATATAGGGTGATTCTCGATCATCGCGAAAAAAGTTAAGGTCAAAACTTCATACATTCATAGGAACGGCCTGTAGCTAAAAATCGCAGTGTAGCAGATAACCTTTAATGAGGACTTATTGATTTTCTCATCACAGTGTCCTGTTTCTTTATTAGTGGAGTAACCAAAGCCAGGAGGTTTAAGTATGTCTCCTCGTTCATCCTTAAATAATTGTGCCAATCTTTGGGCGCGAATTTTAACTCATTTAATAAGTTGGTATGAGAAAATTGCTTCCTTTTCATGAGCCAGTCTTTGCACCGCGACTTTTTTTTCTTTAAAAACATAACCAAGCCCAATAACGCAAGTGCGTCATCATCTTCCATCATGGATGACATGTTTGTTGCGCGAGCTTCTGCGGAGAACTGAAGATCGACGCAGATATCGGTGGCGTGTGGAGACGCTAGGGTATTTCGATTTAACTGCACAGTCTGAAATCGCTACGATATATCGTTACGTATGTAGCGGGCATTAAACGCACCGTCCGACAATTCACTAGAGATGAGGATGAGGAAAAATTTAAAAATGTACTAGATTTCCCATGAAGTGGCGATTCCATCAAAATATGTTACAGTGTTGCCATAATATTATCAGTCTAAGTCGATGGCTAGAGATGATAAACACAGATGAAAGAAACCCTAAATCTTAAATGCCACACTAGCATGAATCCCGCCAAACATATATGCCCTCTCCAGACTTCCGCGCGAACTACCCGCGACCCATGAATGTGGATCCCATTCCCGTATTCTTTGCGGCTTCACGTCGCGTTCGTGCGTTGTCCCCGTTTGTTGTCGTTTTTTTGTCCCGCGACAAAGGATTTGCAAGGCGCGAACATGACTAGGCTACTCATTCGCTGGTGCCTCAGAGCGAGTGCCGGGAGTGATTGTGCGCCATTTTTGAGTAAAAAAAATAAAAACCGTTCTATTGTCCCAGAAAATTAATGCAATAATTGAAGAATGCAATTTAGCAATAAATATCTAGTTGCTCTAGAATATGGCTTTTGACATCTGACAAGTCTATGTTATTCATATCTGTTCTCTGTGACATCTTTTTCATTATTTAGTTTTTACAATCTTGTTAATAATGGTGAATTATTCAAATGCAGAAATGGCGGAAATGCGTTACGTATTTGGCCTAGCCGTCTGTAGCCTTCATCACTGTTGTGCCAGGCTACGAGGTGTGTGGCGCACTCTTTACACAAGTGGTGCCCGCTTCTTCCCCTCTCTCCAGTGTTGCCAGAGCCCACATTGAAAATTTCGCTACTGGTATCGAAAAACTCGGCTACTTTCCGCTACCCAGGGGATTATCACGCAGTCATATTAAAAAAATATCACAGGAAACTAAAAAATAAAAAGCGTATGACTAAAGGCCATTTCTGTTTTGCATGAAAAATCGAAGTTTTTGAGTTACTTAAACTTAGTCACTGCCTGTATCATATTCTTCTTGTTGCAGTAGCGGAATTCCGCTACTTCTGCCAACACTGCCCCTCTCTCTCTCTCTTCCTCGTACACATGACACATGTAAATCTAAAAGGGAAAAAGATTTTCACCAGCACTGAACGGCAAGTAGTTAAACTATGATTGGCTATTATATACATTGTACACGTGAATATCGAGACGTATATAATCACCAATGTATACGCGTATACAATGGTGGATTATACATGATGTATACAATGCGCCCATCACTGACTGCCGCTCATGCATCAGGGTTGCCAAATTGCCAGACATCTCACATTCGGGTGGAAACCTGGAAAGTAATTTTTTTTTCTGATTGGCGGACACAGAATTTGGTAATTGTTTTTAAATATGAAATTTATCTATTTACACCGTGACTCAAATTCGCATTTATTGTTGTGATCTTGGGAACCTGGAGCAAAGTTCGGCAGTATTATGAGGCAGAAAATCGACTAACAAGGTAACACAGGAAAACCGCAATAATAAACATTATGTTAATTTGACTCGTGTTTACTTGTACGGTTTTACTAAAAAAAAAATTAAATTGAGTATGACCATCAATAGTGTGTGTAGACTAAGCTCCACATAGAATTTTTGGTATATGCTTAATTGAAATGCTTCGAAAAGATACTTGCCGAATTTCCTTAAGCCCATATACAGATCATCTTTCTGACTAAAAGACATGTTTTTAAGCTCTTCTAGTAAATATTTTCAGTTTGTAGGCTCATATGAGTCATATGACACTCTATCCTATAATAAGCATAAAGTTTGAAGATACGATGTTTGCATTAAACACGACAGATTTTAATAAACTATGCTTATAACATTATGCAAATTTTAAGGTTGTCTATTTTCTTAGAAGATTCGGTTCCATTGAAATTGTTCAAATTCGACATTAATTACACGACGCACGTTGAAAAATCGTTATACTCATACTTCTCATAGTAATCAAAGTAACGAATACAATGAATTATTAATTTGTAAAAGAGTAACGATTAGTAAAGAGTACTCGAAGGTAACGACAATCAACACCACTAGTATATGACCGCGCCTTGATTCACATATATAGATGAATTTACGATCACATTTTTTGACAGTTGGTGGCATGATTGCTTACCACTTTGGATTCTTGAACACAACGGGTTACAACGTTGGACACATGACCATTCGGCCACATCGTGTGCAATGTACATATATATCAATAAAATCAATCATTTGTTATGACAAGTGCGGTTCAGATATCTTCGATGACCTCCCTCGTCATTTAAAATCAGGTGGACGTGTTCCTCCATTTATGATTTAATAGCATGTTTTTTTAAATGAAATTGACATAACACCTGTCACCCGCTAGTACCTCACAGACGTTAGGCGGGTACCCGTACCACGTGATTTTTTGACTTTCGGACGATGTCACATCCGTCTTCCCTTATTCCCTTTCTTCGCGAAAATTTGAGTATCGGTTCCCGGTAGTGCACTGTGCTACACCGTGGACTCGCGAAAATATCCTTAATGACGATGAAAAACATAACCTAATAATCTTGACACATTGTCATTTTCGTTATCCCCACTATCTCGGAGCGTATAACACCGAATAAAAAGCTAGTACGAAGAAGATGGTCTGTATGGCTCCGTTTTCGGGAGAAACATTTGAAAGGTTCTGCCACAGTTCTGCTCTCTACTCGATAGTTAGCTTTTATTTTGAGTTTGTAGCAAAATGAACTTGCAGACGCTTTTATCTGCTGTAACGAGTACTGCTTTAAAGATATTAATGAAAAATAAGAAATATTAAACAAACTATATTTTTCGGTACAGAACAAGATTTGAAAAATACACACACTCTTTTTTTCAACAACTAGAGGCTACTTAAAATTTCACAGCCAACCATTTTTATGAAATTATTCGCATCAAAATGCACCGAAGCTTCCGAAAAAATCAAATTATTTTGATTTCGTCCGATGTCCGAAAAATTCGGCCGTACTTGTCGGTCGAAATCGGATGTACTGTGACCAAGTTAATAGAATACCAAGAAATTAAAACGATCGGAGGAATCAGGCGTATACGGCCACTCTGACCGCAGCTGAGCGACAAAAACTCAAAAAGTTACAATAATCGAGATGTTGAAAAAAAGAGTAAAAAAATGTAACGAGAGACCAATATACTGAAATGTATTATAACACATTCTAAAATATTCTAAGAACTTGATGGGTATAATTTTACATCCTCACAAAGGTGGTGAAACCCACCCAGCTTTCCTGTGCATAAGTATTTCATTAACCAACATACGACGACGAATTAATTTGTAATACGAATTTTCTAGAAGATACATCTCTTCGAAATCGTCCATTTTAAAACATGTCTTCACTCTGTTAATCTGTATTCAACAATGACGGTCAACGCGCAACGTCTGATGACGGGAGTAGTGCATGCAGATGAACGTCCGAGACAGTCGTCCGAACAACTCCGGCCCGACAAATCGGTTTTAGTGCATACGAGGTTGAGCGCGGCAATTATACAGGCCCGACGAGAGGGGGGGGGGGGGGGCATCGGGTACTTATCCCACCGGGCCCGCACTTTTCAAGGGGGCCCGGCCCCCGGCCTGACGCTTAGACTGAAAAATCAATTCGAAATAAAAAAAAAAGTTGTGTGCATAATAATATATATTATTAAAATGATAATTTATAGAAAATTGAAATAGGTCTCTCCGGGTTAAAGACCTATTTCAATTTTCTATAATACTAATTCACCGGGTTCGTCTCCATGATTATTAAAATGATATGTTTTCTCAAAATTTTCCTTGACCTTCCACTTAACGCTTATCAGGTTAGTGATTTTATTTTACCCGATTATTTGCACTGAAAGAGTGTACAACTTTATTGAAACGCGTGCAACATGATATGAACGATATATTTAGCAGAATCGAAAGAAATCGTGAAAATCGTAAAAGAAAGAGGGGCGAGGTAGGGACCCGCGCTTCGGTTCCCCCGGGCCCGGATTTTTTCTCTGCGGCCCTGTAATTATATGTATGCATATGAGTCTTATGTTATTGCGGTATAGCATTAAATGGTTCTGCAGAGTTCTTAGGTTCGCAACTAAAGCTATGCGTACACCTCAACTCAGAACAAAGAAGCCTGTCGTGTAAGATGCGCGCTACTTTCTGAAATCTAGGAAAATTCTTTTTTCCTGAAAAGTTGAAGAGGTGCGTTAATGTGCTTTTCAGGGTTTAAGGTATACAACAAGAGCTATTATCATCAGTTACCAAAAAGTAGATACCTTTCTTTGTAGTAAATTCAGAATAAATAAGCCATCCCTGAAAGCACATCAACGCACCTCCTTAACTTTCCACGAAAACATTTTTTTCCTAGATTTCAGAGAGGCTCGTTTGTTATCAGTTGAGGTCTACGAATAGCTTTAGATATGAACCTATGAGCTCTGCAGAACCATTTAATGCAATACCGCAATAGCATAAGACTCATAGGCATAAATATAATCACCTCGTATGCACGTCACGGGAGTAACGCCAGAGCGCATCGCAGGCCGACATTTATTCGGTCCGCTGGAATCTAGCTTTTGTAGCTAGCTTCACACGCATCGTAGGAAGTAGGTATGTATATGGATAGACAAAAACAAAAATTGACATTTAGTAGGAGACCTTGACTTTACATGAATACCTACTATGGAATATTTTGTAATTTAAACTCCAAAACTTCCTAATATTCTTTTTTCACATGGGACATAATCAAATCCATCGGTCAACCATTATGAGACCCATTGTGTCAATGCCTGATGCTTGAATTGTGGTGAATCTTTTTATTACATAGCAAGCTTTACTGCCTGTAGACATCGAAAACTAAGCAGAAAAGTACTTCACGTGATAGGCCTGCCTGTATGCGCATTCCTTCTATCTTATGATCCTTGCCTTTGCCCATTTAAGTGATAAGTGGATCAGCATAACCAATTTCCTATAATGCATGTCACATGTACGACCCAAGCATGAGCATGAGGAAAATGTTTATGAGCCTTGTCGAGACAAGAATATTAGAAAGTTCTACTTTCTCCACACTTTATACAACATGTATCTCAATTGTTTAAATCCAATTTTAATACTATACGATTTGATATATCACGTGACTTTTATGATAATTCATAATTTAATTATGGATGTATATCAAAGCTATGTACATCAGTATTGAGATCATTAGATGACCATCAGTTTCATCAACTATTTCATCTAGTATTAAATAGCAGGTATGTCCCGCTACGCTACACTTACATTTAGTGTGTCATGTTGATATTGTAAAAAAAACACCTGTTACCGATTTTATTATATATAATATAAATGTTTGACTTATCTATTGTTTTTCTATTGATAAAGTTCATTACTGTTTCATTGTCTATCATTTAAAAAAAGTAGAGATGTTTTAACAAATTAGTAAACAGTTGGCTTGGTAAAACTTTTATATTTCTGTTTTTTTAGATGTCGGTTTTTAAAATTAAAAAAAAAAATGTTAACACCTTGTATATTCTAATAGCTTTTATCATTATATTTTATATCCATATATATATATATATATATATACAGGGTGTCTAATAAGTACCTCGACAAACTTAAGGAGCAGGTGGTTTTGGACTGGCCTACCCAAATAACAAAAACTTACCTATATAAAAGTGTCACCGTTTTTGAGATAATAAATACCATGATCAAATAAGGACTATTTTGGGATGTATAACCTTCTGATATTTTTTCCTCAACTTTGACCATCTGTGGTGAAACAAAAATGTACTGGGCAATAATTGCATTAAATTGAATAAAAAGATTATTTAGCATGTCATTGGTCGGTAACTTAAATTTAAATCCAATAATTACATTGTAGTGTGTGTCAGACACTTAAAATATCACTATTTTCTATTCCAAATAGTACGTTTTTCGCCGTTCTGAAATCTGTATTCAATGAGCAATCTTTTATTCGTAAATGCAGTTCTAGCTCAGTACATTTTTGTTTTACCACAGATGGTCAAAGTTGAGGAAAAATAAGAAGGAAATAGTCCTTATTTGATCATGGTTCCTTAATATCTTTTAATTACATTGTATTTGTATATGATAAAGCAACTATAGAAATATTTTATAGAAAAAATGGACAAAGTACAACCTTATTTGTACATGCAGCTAAAGACCACAGATGAAACGGTTCGTTTTTTAAAATTTAAGAAAAAATTCAATATCTCAAAAACGGTGTCACTTTTATATAGGTAAGTTTTTGTTATTTTTGAGGTAAGTCCAAAGCCTACCTTCTCCTTAAGTTTGTCGTGGTACTTATTGGACACCCTGTATACGCAGCTTTTCCATCATTTAAGTGACTTCGTATCTCTTCTGTTTCCAAGATACCAATGGTGAAGGTCAAATTTGATACTCCCGGTATACTAGTAAGGTTTTTTGAGTGTGATTGGCAAAACAGCCTAGTTGGTAACGCGTTTCAATGTCTTATTATCACCAATTTTTAATAACATGATTCGACTTGCCGGGCAAGTTTCTGAAGATTCCATGCTGCCGATATGACGAATTAAAGCTATCAGTACATATTAGAATCAGCAGGTACCGATAAGACCAAGGTGTGCGTTTGTAAATCACTTGGAAATGTAATACCCTACATAGTAATGGCATGTAGATTGTCAGATGAAGTTTTACTCTGGAATACTGTGAAACTTAGAACACCTAAATTATTACAGTCATGTAATGACGCTTGATGTCAACCACCTAATTTCTAACCACGTTTTTGGCACCATTGAAATTATTATAAGAGACCGTAGGGATATCGGGTAGCATTTATCATGAAATATATATATATATATAAATGCTACCCCATATCCCTAGGGTCTCTTATAATAAGTTCATATATATATATATATATATCCTGCCAATTTTGAGCAGTTTCTGAAAACCAAATGAAATAAACAAACAATGAACCATGAGAATGACAAGTGACAGAACTCTTATTCCCAAGGTTTTGAGCTCGGGAAGAAAAGCACACTTTTGACGTTTCAGAAGGATTATGCTGTTCTATTTCCGATCGCAAGTAACATGTACGTCAAACAATAAATTACGAACGCTAAAATTGTTACAGAGTAGCAGATTGCACGATCTTCTGCGTCATCGTTGCTAGACAACGTGGCGATGAGCTTCGCTATCCATCGGGCTTCTATTTTTTCTAACACAATATGTGCCTAGAACACTTCTCCTGCTGCTCTCTCGTACACATTGAACTCGCGCCCGTCAGCAAAATTTGGTTCTCACCATATTTGTTGAAAGCAAATCATCGTCCGTTCTATATGATTTTATTTGACGGTCAAGGTGCTGCATTCTCAATTTTTAAATGGCAGAGACAGTTTTTAAAAATTGATGTTTAGTAAAATAACCAAAATAAAATACTTTCACCAAAATACATAGAGATACATGAACAAATAAATATCAGCAAACATAAATATATAAAAGAATATAACATACATACAACTAAGGAATTAATACTGTGTTTGTAACATTTATGACCAAGTCAATATCACAAGCACTGTTGACCACTGCTGATAGACTGATGGATATTTCTGTTTTATTCTTTTCTTCGGATGAATACCATCCTCACCACCTAAAACTTAAACGATTTAAATCACATTGTATTTTATAATATTAATAATTTGTGTGAACTCTCACCATCTTTCATGGTGTTAGAAAAGCAGTTCCAACCTAGTTCACCACCTGCATTAAATCCCAAAACTGGTATATTTGGAAATACTTTATTGACAAGAGCAGTCTCTTCTTCTGCTCCTACTTTTGCAGAGCAACAAATTCTGAATGCTACACTTTTCTCCCTGAGTTTAATGTTACTTCTGAACTAGAATAAAAATGAAGCAAGATTATTATTAAAACATACAGGGCTCAAAATTTGGATGAAAATAATTATAAAATAAATCTCCACCTTCTGCAATTCTTTGGTAAAGTCTTCCTTTGTGAGATCATCTCCAAGTATAACATAAGAATAGGCATTAAAATTTGCAGCAATTGATCTGTCCTGAATAAAAGCTATGCAAAATATGTCACTACTGGAGTACACTCTTTTAGTTGGTTTGACGTGTTGGAAAGTTTTTGTGCCCATTATTATACCTCCCCCTACCGCTACCATCTGAGCAAAACATCTGAAAAAAAATAATCTTGATAATCCACTCTTACATATTAAATTTTTCAAATTTTGTATCAAGTTACAAGAAACACTTAATATAGTGAATGCATTCCGAGCCCATAACCTATTCAAAGTTAATACTGATTCTCATGGTTACCTACTCTGGTATCAAGATAGTCAACAGTCCATTATATGCACTTTTGTTCAAGTTTCTTGTAGAGAACATGAGAAGGCATTTTACTTGATCATTTTCTCTAACATATTGCCCAATTTCTGTAGCATCTTTCTTATTCACTTTGTAATGAAACATGGCAGTTCGGACATTAGGAATTTTGGGAATGATTAATCCAACAATGATGTCACAACTTGGAGAACTTCTCTGTTCCTTTGGTGCTTCAAAGCATGAAACTACCTTTGCACAAGATAAGACACAGTAGTCTGTGTTTTGAGGTATTATTTCTTCTTCTAAATACTCAGGAACTACGAAAAAATTCATCAAATATTCTATATATTTTCCACCATACAAACCATTACCAGTTTTTCTGGAAAGGTCAAAGTTGTCTGTATGAAGGCAAATATATTCATGAAGCTTGATCATACAGTAATCATACAATATAATGGCTGTTCCAACATTGCTATTGTTTAAATTTGTACTGTGCTTAAACACATGTCCTTTATTTTTTCGTCGCCCTCTCACTTTATAACATGTAAACCAACTTGGTGTAGTCCTTCTGCTCAACACAGTTTCTGCCACTTCTTCCCAAGATTTCTTCACTTGGCAGCATATTTTCAGCTCCTGATAGTTAAGATAACTGAATACAGTTTCTAAAAGCGGGTATACTGACTCTAGAGCTTCTGCAAAGTCAAAGTCCTCTGTTGGGGGTACGTTTGTTTCTGGTATTCTATATTTGAAGCTTTTCACGCAAAATCCTTCGTGGTTTTCACTCTAAAACGACTCATATTACATTGGAATTTTGTATGCCAAATTGGTTTTAGTATTACCATGATTCAGTAATATACAAATATCCACATAAAATGTAAATTTTAGGGGATAATTAAATGAAAAAAATTTCTTTTCCACAACAAATAAACGTCACTATCAATATTGACGTTGACTTTCACAGACAGAGTAGTCTGTGGTAGAGATGGGAGACTTTTAATATGCCTAGCAATTTAGATTCGGTTTTTTGGCGCTAACATTCATGTGCAACAAAAGAGAAATATGAATGTAGGCAACACTTAATACACATGAATTACAAAACAAACACTAACCTATTACGTCAACTTGTAACCCGTGTATTAAAAAAATACATTTTGAATTAATGATAGCATTGTAAAAACTTATCAACTATGAATTCAGATCAAGGAAATTCTATATTAAATGAGGTAGGACTCTTGTACCTTTATTTTAATTCAAAATACTTTATATGTCTAAAGATTGCAGCTACTGAAGCAGCATTGAAATCTACATATTGCAGATTAGAGACTATAGAGCATAAACTCAAGACAGAAAATCTGTCAGAAAACAAACAGAAACTACTACAACAAGAAGTTGAAGAGGTCAGAAAACTGCTAAAGACCCATGAAGATCAATTGGCACACTTGAGGACTCACAACAGAGCCACCTTTGTTTTTGTTGTTTGCTTAGTTTTCATTATATTTGCTGTGTACATGCTCTATATTTTGGTGAAAGGGGATCAGTTCTAGTTATGATCAGTATTAATTTTATACTTTTGTAAATAAATTAAAATATTAACAATTTGTTTTCCCTATCTTTGGCAAAATCACTGTATTTTTAAGTAAACTGTAATGTGTATAACTAAAACATCTACATCTAAAAGAATATCTTAAGCAAAGACAATTTACAAGTGCAAACTTCTAGATTGTACAAGCCATTAAATTTTTTTTATACAGGTAGCTACATTTGGAAGGTAGTGTATCTGTCTTAATTTAGCTGTTGAATTTGGGTGGTTCTCTAAATCAAGAGCATTTTTTAATAAAAAAAAGTTTTTTCATTTTTTTCCAATATCCAAGAACATCTACAGATTGTATTTTAGTACAAAAAATATTCATATAAAGCAGGGATGGCGAACCAAAGGCACGCGTGCCATTGATGGCACGCAACACAATAGTTTGGGCATATCACCAGTCACTAAATCATTGTGCATTAAGAGAAAAAGTGTAAACTAGGTAGGTATTTATTTTATGACGAGCGAACGCAAGTAGGTAGAGGTTTTTTAAAACGTCGTGAGCCATCATTCACCAACAAGCCTTGTGTGCTAAGAGTGGTTTAACATCTCTTGATAACATACTAGCGGAGTTTCAAAAATAGTCAACCACATCTCGTCACAGGCTTTAAACAAGCGAAAGTCGATGCTTTGGTGGATGAAGTCAACTCAGTGTACAATGGCTTAGTATAATAATGTTCGCTGGTTTAGCCGCGGAAACGAAATTGAAAGATTTGTTAATTGCTTGGACGAAATCAGACTGTTTTTTCAAAATGAGAGGAGAATTGAACAATACCCACAATTGTTCGCTGTTGTGTGGTTTTCAAAATTGATGTCTTTTACAGACATATGCCAACATTTAAATACGCTAAACGTGAAGCTTGAAGGCAAAACCAAAACAATTATTGTTATGGTAGATCTGATGCGCGCTTTTGAGGCTAAAGTTCAAGTTTTCAGGAACGATATTATCACAAGAATTTACAAGTATTTTCCAAAGCTGAAAAAATATATGAACGATTTAGATATACACAAGACACCAGACAAAGAAAGAGTTACTGAAGAATTTATGTATTTGATTGATTATTCAATCAAGGAATTTTCAGCGGGATTTACGCAGTTAAAGCGATTATCGGTAATAAGCAAGTTTATTATGTTCCCTGACGTGACGTCATTTAATAAATTGAACTTGTCCCAATTCGATTGGTTGGAAATCGAAGAATTCGAAATACATCTGATTGATTTCCAGTCCAATATGGATTCAAAAATATATTGAAACAAGGATAAAGTTAGAACTAATAGAAACAGAAAGATTGACAAGTGATATAAGTGAAAATGCTAGTAACAAAATTTTGGAAACGTGGAATGCATTACCGAACACATTTAACTGTTTGAAGAAGCTGGCTCATACTATATTAACGATATTTTCGTCTACATATGCTTGCGAGTCATTATTTTCAGAAATGAACAATATTAAAGACTCGGTTAGAAACCATTAACAGACGAATGCAGTTCAGCATGCATTCTGCTAAAAGTAACATCTTACAACCCTGATATAAATTATTCATCATCTAATCTGCAACAACAGAAGTCACACTAATTTTACTTTAACTGAAATTACGAATTTAATTGAAACATCGCAAAATTTATATTTTTTATAGCAAATAAAGAATTGATAATATTTATTTTTATTATTTTCCCAATTTTCCTAAGTCAAAATTATTAGTCTATGACATCATTAAACATTTCTTTAAAAAAATGGCACGTTGATGCATAAAGGTTCGCCTACCCTGATATAAATTAACATCTACTCCAGGAAATTAGTAGATCATGCAAGTTTTTCTCTTTCATAATAAAGTGTCTTATGTTACAATATTATTTGATCAGATTTGAAAGAATTTATAATTATGATCATATCTACAAATGTCAATTTCAATTATTTTTTATACAAAATGCTGATTAAATTTGGTTTTGGGATTTAACAAACACTGCAGGAATTACTGTATTAAATATAGACTAACAGGATTATAAGAAGGAAAAGTAGACTATCATGTACTAAATACTGAAGTCAATAAAAATCAGACTTTTTACACCCTATTTCATGAGTATCCATCATGTTTTGATGTCTATTGAGGTGAACAGCTGATCAGCTAGTGACATTTTTGTGTTAGTCTCTAACATAGGCTATAATGAATGGGGTGTAAATCTAGCAAAAAATTGTTTGAAGCGTTTTGTTTTTTGCATGCAAATGAACTACTCTAAATAAAAGACTTTACAAACAACAACAAAATATGGCTCTGTCTTTCTGGGATTGATGGATCCATCAGAATTATGGGTCATTTGCCGATATCGGGAAATTTGAAATATTACTAGATAACCAGCTGTGATGAATACTTATGAAATAGAGTATATGTTCAATCGCACAAAATCAGTGTAACTTAAATCTAATCAATCGCTGCATCTTTTTCACTTTCAATTTATCTTCTTCCTCTGCCTCTACCTCTTCCTCTAGGCCCTCCTCTACCCCTTCCTCTACCTCTACCTCTAGTTGCTCCCCTGGCAGATTCTTTTTTCTTTGCCTTAGCTTTTGGAGTATCATCAATAAGCAAAGTCTCTAGAGGTAAGCTGTCTGGTAAGATATAGTATCTGATATTGTTACCTAAAATAGAATTAGTTCATTAAAGACAAAAATTTTTACTGAAAAGCAGTTTTGGTGATAATGAGTTACCTCTAACAGTGAGTGTATCTAGAGTGACTGGATTTCGATTTTTCACCGTAACTTTAACAGCCTTCAGATGGGTATTCATGGCTACATCAACGCCTGTAATCGTGCCGTGCACCTGGGTACCATTTTTCAGCTCCATTGTCACAGTTTCGTGGCTCAATTTCATCAAAAATCTAAGAAAAAGTTGGTTGAGGTTAGGTATCGTTTATGCTTGATTCCGGCAAGAACATTAATTAATTAATTAAATAAGTAATGTAATTTATAGAGGTAATGTTTTGAGCTGGAACATACCTGACTAGCTTCATTTTGAAGTTATTAAAGATAGGAAATTACAAAAAATTATGAAAAACCGCGTCTAATGCCGTAGTTTATCGCATAAAACATATAGACCACAAAACATATACAACACTGAAAAAGACAGCAATTAACCATCATAGTTGTCAAAGCCGCCATTTTTTCTGGATGCCAACAGTGTTGTCAGGTTGTACTCGGCAGCACCGTATTGTTTCTCATTGTCCCATATGAGTTGACTTCATGGATTATCGCACAAAACTTGTCTATATAGTTTATAGACAATTTTGGTGTACAACCGGTCGCTCAGACGGAAATTAATGGAAGTAAAATTGGATAATTGGTTGTACCGGTGGCTCAACCGGTGAATTAAAAAATACACCTAAAAAAATTTATCGGCTTTTCCTCACACCAGCGCCATCTATGAAACGCAATTCAAGAACACAATGACAACTTGTGGACGGTCCGGCGGGTGTTTTGAAATGTGTGTTTGTCCTAATTTCCCACACCATATTGATATAATATGATATGATCCCTGAAAATTCATGAGTTTCCCAAACATTTAATTGTCATTAAAATAGTAGAGGAGACCTGAGAGAGAGTCAAAAAAATATATGACAACAGTTTAATTTGGTACAGTGTCATTTTGCAAGGTCCACACATGAGAGTTTGGGTGTTCTGGGGTTGGATTGACGAAAATCGATTGAGCAGAAAGCTATAAAACTTTTCCTTTTCTTATTACCACAATATCAGCAACTTTATTGTAGTCACAAAAACAAAATATAAAACGATTAAGTATGATTTTAATCTCTTGAATCGTTAAAAGACTTTATATTCTAGGAATTCTCATCTTTATTTTACTATAGGTATCCTCCTTTGTTTCTAGAAGCTTTTGTCATTCCTGGGCATGTTCTATAGTTACATTATTCCAACTGCTATTAGATATAGAAATCTCTACCCCTCTATTATGAGATGTTCTTCAACTAAAAATGGAGTTCCATTTTCTAGCTATGATAAAATAATTATGATTGCATGCATGTAAATCCTTTTATTCTTGTTACAACACTCGTGATATGGCATACCTACATCAATATTTTTAAGGCTGAAGCTCAATTCATAATTCTTCTAAATGAAACAGTTGGGAAAGCTTGTTGAATCTAATATAGTTTGCTGTCTCGTTTTAGCAAACCAGTCACAGCGAACCAAGAGTATGCCAGAAAAAGCAAAATTTAAAAATTGCGCCGCAGGCACTTTGTTGTTGAAGAAGTTTACCGCGTTTTGTTATCCAACGTTGCCGTTTTCATTAATTTCACTTATTGGCTTATTGCTATATTCAAGCAAATTTTAGGTTGAATTCACAGCACGCCACCACTTGAGGCATCCTTATTTGCTTTTCTATTTAGGAGTAACCTGACAGTATTCACTTATTAAAGAAGGTCTTTATGCAAAACCTATCCTTACTTATCAATTTTTAATTTGAATCTTGATAATATGTGGAATATGTTTTATACAGATATAAGAACAATAAGCGCGTAGGCTCCTCCGTCCATTGAAGAAGTCAATGAAAGAAGAGATCCTTGAAGTTAACGACTATACAAGGCAATAAGGAGGCTTCAGATCGGACAAGCCCACTTTTATTTTTTTAAGAAAGATGATTTATAACTCTTCAAAATTATTCCACCTGTTCGTTTACCAAAATTCTGTTGAATAGGTAAATACGTCAGCAGTAGGCAACCACGAATTATCCAGGTTAGTTTGATGTTGGTACTTGACGTTGTGGGGCGCATGCGGGCATGCGTAGCAGGCCGGTAGCGAAAACATGGCGTACGGTCGACAGTTTCTATCGCTCTAAATGAAAACATTCGCGTTTAAATGATAGTTTTCTTGAATATCTGTAAATATTTATTCGGATTTGTGGGTGGTTTATTGTGTAAGTGTACTGGGCGATATTTATCTCCCTGCCAAATCGCTCGTTTATTTTGGCAGCATCCGCGTTTTCTGACATTTAAATTGTCATGATATTTACTCGATCGTTTTTACTACTGCCTTTGAATTATTTTAACTAAATACTATTTTATTACAATCTTCGATGTTTCTGGCCTCTTTTAAACTATTCGTAAACATGTTTAGATTGTAAATTCATCTGTTTTTCTAAATGTCAATCGGTAGAGGTTAAGTAATAGGTTTAGATTCATTTGTTTAGCTTTAAGAAAATCTAGTTACAGTTGTAATACTGATAGTATTAAGAAATTAGGGCCATTACGTAAATGTATTTTTACGAAGAGGCACCATGGATCAACGGAAGAAGAAACAGATGCCAAATTTTAAAGGTGAGTAGGCTGAAATCTTTATTTATATCTTCCCACCCAGTTGGTTGCAATGCTCTTGTACAATTTTTTCGTCATAGCTACTTATAATCATGTTCGGTCCCCAGTCATTGCTGTTTATTTTTATATTATGCATACTTAGGTGCATTCTAATTATTCCTATTTCCTATTTCAAAAACAATCAACTTCATTTAAATTTAGCCTACTAGTGTTTTGTAGAATCGATAGAGGGCAGCACGTGTCTCGTATTTAGAATTTATGATTTGGTTAGTTTGGAAATCGGTGTGCACAGGGACGTATTGAGCCTTATGACTTTTATGCCATTTGACCTATTTCTAAATTAATGTTTTGGGTTTTGGGTCTTGATATACCGGGTGTTTCAAATTCGACCCACACATTGGCATCTCGGAAACGGTAAGAGGTAGGAAGTAGCTTAAATGGGTACATAGTTGCCTATTTAAGTAACTAACAAAATGTCGCTTAGAAGGTTTTGAAATTTAAAGTACTTCTGCAGGCTTATTACCTAACTTCTAACCAACCCAAATCAGTCGATAGTTGCTGAAAAAACGCAAATTTCGTAATATGTATCAGTCAGCGCGTCTCAATCAGCGATCAGCTACGGTGGTGCCTCTTTGGAGCAACTGGTGAACAAAAAGTGCATTCTTTGGTTAGGAGTGTTACGGGACAGGGCGAAATATCAATGCTATTGTTTGTGGATGTCGACTGAGTTTATTTTAGAGATCAAGGTAGCAATACATATAAGACAGGTTTCACATGATATAAGATAGGTGGCGTGCTATACATTATTTTTTGATATTTTTCAACAAGGAGTATCAAAAAATTGGTATTACCTAACTTATTGACAACGACCGACTAGCGATTTGAACTGTCAATTTAACAACTGCTCAGTGGTATAGTCATCTAGTCGGTCGCCAATCGGCTGCTAGCGTTTTTTGACAAATTTGTTAAAATTTTTCATTTTTTTAACAAGAAAGGTAAGTATAACAAGTTTAAATAAGAAATATAATTATTACCTTGACGAGGCTAAGAAGTTATTTCATACTCTCATTTTGTATTTTCAGTATTTTTTTTGTGAAAGTGAATAAATGCACTTTCAAAGACGACAAACTGCTCGCCTGTGGCGTATTTCTTAGTATGTATGAGTTGAAGTTCATAATGATTACCAAATAAGCTTACTTGCACCTTCCTACCACAGTTTGGGAATATATTGATTTTAGGTATTAACAGCACCTTTGATGCTGGTTCCTATCAGAAACATATTGGCATGGGCTGCTTAGATGGGCTCAGTCAACCCATTGTATCCAAAGCACCAAGGGAAGTGGTTTATGCATTGAATCATCCAGACATTCTATCGACACATATTTGTTTTGCTCAAACACCACAAGAGAGTATAGTAACTATATCGCCATGCATATTAAGAAAATAAGATTACACATCAAAATTTTATGGTTAATTGAGAAACTAATGAGTTCAGCTGCATCAAAAACTTTTTAAAACATGAATGTTTACATTACCTGATGAAATTTCATCCCTATGGAAGATGAAATTTCCTATTAACAAAAGTAATAATATTCATCAATCATAAGATCTCAGATTCATTATCTGCAAGATTAATAATAAAGCAACAAATCTGAGTTTTAATATTCCACATATTTTGGCCAGCATACAATCCATTTACTCCATTTTTTTGACTTTAGTTGTAATTATTGTTATATACCTGCTTGCAGATGAGTAATAATGAAAGATATATTTTTACAGATGACTGCGGACATCCATTAAGATCCTGGCTTCTAATGCCTGTTATAATTGATGAACCTAGCACTTCAGAAGAAGATTATACTAAATGCATTGCCTTACCAGAAATAGCGTAGAGCAATATTTAGGAGTATTAAAATTTTTGATTATTTACTGTATCAAATATTTTAAACTTCCACGAAATAATGTTCATTGTCATGTACATATGTTTAATGCTAGTTTTGCTTTAAATAGGTTTTATCAACCACTGTAAAGAAAATGTTAATGTTTGCATTAGTTTTCTAGAAAGGTTTATTTTCCCATGTCCATATTCAACAATACCGTCTTTTCTTATATATACCAAAGCAGCCGCGCACGGCAGAAGCCGAAATGAAATGCCGGGACACCGCGGCTGCTATGAGGATCCCAAAGAAATTTTGTTAATCTGATTTTTGACTTGCGTAAGGTTAGTAGAACTGGAAAAAACTGCCTCTTGTAGATTGTTCTACAATCTCGACACCCTCGGGACAAAGGAGCGGTCGTATCGGCCAGTTCTGGATGTACGAAGTTCGAGAGCTTTGAGGAGCAAAGTCCGTTGGTGTAGCGGTAGGAGAGAGCTAGATCGCCGATAGCCCGCCGGTGCGAAAGGGTTCCGAGACTGCCGAGGAGCCGAGGAGGCCATACGATGGAAGTTTGCATAAGAGGGCAGCGTGGCATAGCTGATCAAACGCTTTCGTGATATCAAGAGCAATGACATGAGCCTCACCATAAGACTGAATGAGTTTACTCCACAATTGCGTGACGTAAGCTAGGAGGTCCCCTGTGGATCGCTGGTGCCGGAAACCATACTGCCTGTCGCTAATCAAGCCATGACACTCGAGGTAGTCCAGAAGCTCGCGATTTATGCACCTCTCCATCACCTTACTTATAAAAGAAAGCAGAGCTATAGGCCTGTAATTGTAAGGGTCGGTGTTATATCCTTTTTTGGGATGGGTTGGACATGAGCAAATTTCCAGTTTTCTGGG